GTAAAATCGTCAATAGAAAGCTCTCTTGGCCTAGGCAGCATATTAATTCTTGGCGTTTAGGTCCACTCTTATCCGGAGGAGAGACGAATCTCGCATCTCTTGCATCAGATGTCTTAACTTTGACTTTGCCGACGATTTGGAAGCGATGCAGAATTTCTTTCGCGATCTTTGGAAATATCACCAGGAAAATACAGCGCGATACGAACTCCGGCAAGATCACGGATTTTGTTATAGATGCCGGCCTCGTCCTTGATCCCCCGGATCCATGAATCCTTCGTTTTAGAGTCTTTCAAATTAGCCTTGATAGACTTGAGGCTCTTTGCCCTGTAGGTCACAATGCCTTTGATCCCCGTGTCCCGTAGCATCTTTTTGCAATCCTTGTGGCCAATTGCGGCTAGGTCCCTATAGTGCAAGCGTCTCGTCGGATAGCTTTTGAAGAAATCACCAATTGCATCCTCGAGGAGCTGAGGGTTTTCCCCATCGACACTCGTCCCTTTGTTGTCACCCATTGTAACTTAGTGAAGTTAGGCCTCTTAGCTGGAAATCAAGTAAAAGGGCGAATGTTTTCTTAGCGAGCCACCGAAGTTGAGCACTACTGGAAGTTTTCATGTCAAGGAAGACTCTGCTCCTCAGAGCCTTGAGCGAGATTTAATTTGGGTGTTGCCTTCTGCATTGCCAATCGTAAGCGAATACCACCCGAGGATTTCAGCTCTGTCCCCAACAACATTCGGCCACCGTCACCTAGTTTCTTGATTGGCTGTATGCTGACGTGTAAGCATTAGTGTACAGATTTTGACAAGCCCTTCACACCAACTTGAGCCAACCTGGAGCATCAAATCAGATCATGTCCCATCAACATCGAGATCTATCAAGAGGTACTCGATTCATTGAATCCCACGATTAATTGACGACACGAAATTCCAGTCTCAGTGTAGACTTCTATTATGTTTGGGTTACTTCTAAACTACCTATCCAAATTCTCTTCTCGGATATATGACTACATACACCACTTTTGATAGATGCTGTGATGACAACATGGGAGCCATCGTGGCCGACGGTTAAACTATCATTCAGGTGCAGAGTCTCTAAAGATTCATGAAGCAAACCTTCATTGTGCTCGAACCATGCATTGTTCAGGAAATTAGCGGCCTGTTCAGGATACTCCTCTTGATCAAGCAGAAGACAAGACGGTGAGCCATCCAGAAATTTCACTAGCAGTACCAGCTGTAATGCCACCCCGGCGACAGTCCCTCGTATCTTGAGAACCCGCAAAGCGATATCGCGTGAATGGTAGAACAGATTCTTGGACTCATTCCATAGTTTACGCGGAAGCCCATCGACAATCCGCAGCAGCGGATGCGCATCAAAGTGCACGCTGTCTTTGACTCTCACAGAATCTTGTAGTGCCTTTGTGGCAAGTTGAATTGGATATAGCCACTGGTGTGAGTAGGACCCTCTCTCGCCCAAGTCGTCGTAGGGATGGAAGCGCAACGGGGATTGTGCGTTTCGAGTATATAGGTTTGGTCCTATCATGGAGACAGCAACTGAAACGATTTGGTGATTTGGTTTCTTGCCTATCTTACCGAGGTCAATGAAGTAATCGTATTGTGTTGAGATGAGCCGTATCGGATGTTTGTCGCTAAATTGGATACCAAGCGCACTCATCAAGCAGGCGCGGGTCTCACGGCGAAACTTTCTGATCTTTCCACTACACTTGAAAGATGCCGGAGAGCGAGCAAGAAAGCTGCAGAAATTGTCCACGATATCGTGTGATGTCGGTTCCCAGGCAAGCATTGTCATATCAAGTGCAGTTTTGGAAATCTCCTCCTGTAACCTCAAGAATGCTCTGTGTCTCTCCCCGTACAGCAGGGGCATATAAACCTCAAATATTCCAAGGAGACAGTACGCGGTATCTTCGATCCGACTTGTAACGCGCGAAGCCGCCCATGACATCCTCTGTGCGATTGAATAGCGGCCGAGAGGAGTTTCTCCCAGTATGGCTGCTATCGGGATCGAGGTTATGCTGGACAAAAGAGAGCAGATCTGAATCTTGGTACCGATTTCTACCCAGTCGCGATTGAGAAAGATGACAACTCGTGGTGCAAGAAGCTCCTGAAGAGTCCATCCTCGTGTGAACCATCTACATCCAGATAGCCAGTCTTCAAGAATGCGTCCATCTTCATAGTCAGACAGATAGACGTAACATTTAGTCGCTTGTTGGTACCAGAAGAACATTGAATTGATTGCCTCGCTAAGCTCAGCACTGCTGGACTTGTCGATGCAGCATGTATCGACCCACGCGTATTTGAGGCCTTCGCTGAGAGCCTTCTCACAAGTTTTGTGTATTTTGGACCAGCCGGCCTTGAGTTGCGCTGCTTGTTGGTTTTTGAAATCCTCAAAACTGACTTCATCGTCACCCCAGGTATGAGATAAAATGGCATATGGGGGAATATCTTCCCCGTAAAATGGCTTGAGAGCCAGTTTGGCCGTTGATGCATCAATCAGCCACATGATGGCCTTCCTTCAGGCTGCTAGCAAATACTTGAACGGGCCGTAGATCCGTAGGAGATCAGACTCTTCACGCCAAGTTATATTAAGGGCAGCCTTTGGCGTTGATATGCGACTAGGTTTGTGACAAAGGTTTTCGGTTGATGATGAAGTCGAATCGCGATGATTTGATCTTGGTTAAACACTGAATTAGGGACCGTTCAGTACAGATTCAGGATTCAATCCAACGCTTCGAGGCAGTGATTAGAGGGCATTGTTTCGTCAAATGCGCGCGGGGTAACAAACAAGGCATCATGTGTTTGGAAGAAAACGCCCTGCTGAAAGCAATGCAGCGGGCGGCGGGGGCGCTGTGACATTCTCTCGACCTACGCCTCCAGGGCCCGGCAACAACGGCGGTGCAACTGATCACGACCCTGAATGGAGCCTGGTTTGCTACTGGGTACCCAGGTACTCATTTTAGATACTTCTAAGTGTCTATTCAAATATAATCATTGCACTATACTGTCTAATTCTATTAATCAGACCATAGGTGACCAAAATCTTCCTTATAGCTCATGTATGTTCATTGCTTTCCTTCTTCGTCTTGCTTCTATCATTGAATACCTTCATAAGCTTGCGCTCCCTTGATTTGAATTTACCCGTTGCAGTCTTTCCTCGAAGTTTCATCTTTCTATAAACTTATTCCTCGTGCAAGCCCGATCCAGTACAAGCTCGCCAGTCTCTAATTCATAGCTCGGTATGGTCCTACTTGGGATGAAGCATATTGTAGAAGATGCTTGTCGCATGTGCGTGAGCACCATCATCCCACATTCGCCAGCTTGGCGATTTCGCGGGCTGCAATGACGCGTCCGATGGCCTGCCTGAAGTGAAGAGAAATCATCAGATGGTCATCCGCTATGTTCAAAGCATGGCGATAGGACTATGGCACAACCATAATTTATCACTGATACTCACACGTAAAAAGGGGCTGGCACTTTTGTACTATATATATAACTATGCCACGAAGCTAAAGGCTTTGATGTGGAAGAGGCTTGCTTATGTAGTCAAGCTGTTAGATCTTAGCTGACAGTAAGTACGATATCTAGACAGCCTAGATACCTTAAAGACTGTGGGAGAGGAGACGAGATTGTTCCTGTTATGAGTTATAAATAGGATCTTTATAAGCCATAAGCTCTTGCAGCCAGAGGTAATTGGTTATCTACTCGACTTTGGAACCGATTTCACAAACGTCCCTGTCTGGACATAGGTGGATCTGAACTTATTATATTGGGTTTGTGTCAGACAGTGGACTGACCTGAGAGAAACTCTATCTGTACAGCTTGGTCGTAAACTACGGCCAGAAAACGTTTATTTTCAAGCTAATAGCTTCCAGCTACTATATATAGAAGCCTTTAATAATTGTGGTCTGGTATTATACTACTTTTGCATTCATGATTATCTCTCCTTTATTATCCTAAGGAAGGAGCAATCTCGGCAGAGAGGCGTGATAGTCCCATTCCAATCTACCGCGACAGTCTGTATGGGTTAGGTCTAATGTCTCCGATCGGCTGGGAAAGCTGCCGTTCCAGTTTTCGATGGCATCTAACACGGTCAAGAGGCAAGTAGACAGTTATTGGACAGTTAAAGGGCTAGCTTCATTACGTGATGTGTACAAGAGCAGATAAGGGTAAAGGTGTTTTATACGATAGCAAAGATGGAAGCTAGACGCAAGGGTCCTAGCAGCAGACAGGGTAGCGTCGTTGCCGTTCCATCATGTCCAAACAGAGCAGCAATGCGGATAGTTGATGTCCGTTGTCCATCGCCAGCGGCAGCATCCATCCATCCATGAAACAGTCCTCCAAGCGCGCCCTCAGGAGTGAACGACCGCCCGTGCCCTATCCGCCTGACGAGTGAAGGGTGCGTATGTCCTTCAAGACACCGGCGGCGTGCGCGCCCTCGCCCCATGCGTGGATGGCGTTGACCACTCTGGCGAGCTCGGCCACCTCTTTAGCCGTGGTGTGGCCTCCAAACACCAAGGACATGTTGCAGCCCTTCCAGGTCGTGCCCCGCTCCTGGTCGTACTTGTGCCGCTCGGGCCCCAAGGAAACCGGGCTGTCACGGCGTGGCGGCGGTGGTGGTCCTGGCCGGCGATCATGGCTGCCGGCGTCGTCGTCGTTGCGCCGGCTGGATGAAGACCGAGGCAATACTCGCGAAGTGGCGGGCAGGTCATCCGTCGTCGACAGTATCTCCAATCCCCGAGCCAACAGCTGGCTAGCAGCATCAGCACTGTAGGACTCGGTGTTGTCGCTATCCTCTCCACTTCGAATGCGGCTTGCTGGCGTGACATCGCTTTCGACCCTGCCCGGCCCGGCCCGCTGGGCTAAGCCAGCAACAGCACGCTCTCTTGACGCCCGGCTCTTCAATAACTGGGATAGAGCTTTGGTGATTATGCGTTTGTTGACGACGAAATGGCCGGGCTCGATCGGCCGAAGCGCCCACAGCGTGAAGAACTCCTAGTTCATCACCGCCGCGTAGTGCGCGATGTCGCCCGTCTCGATGCGGAAGGCCGCGTCCCGGTATGCCGCCTCCTCGCGGAGCAGATACCGGTTGTAGAGGCTGGTGTTGGCGATGTCCGACAGGGCATGCAGAGCGTTGCAACGCTTCGGGTCCCTGTGGAAGCAGCGGGCGCGGTCACAGTACTGCACCGAGAGGTAGGGCGCCACAGAGCGCTGGTAGTAGGTGCCGGTCCTGTTGACGATATCAAATTCCGCGCTTGCCGACAGGCTGGAGTTTGCGACAAGGAGCCAGAACGAGATGTGGGCTGCCGCTGCTTCCGCCGTCGTATCCGTGAGGGTCTTGCTGCCGTCGTTGTGGCAGAGAAAATATGCTGGCGCGCGATGCCAGAGGCTGTCGACCTCGTCTTGGTCGTTAGGCTTGGCGTGGAGGATGCGCTGAGCCGCCAGCAAGCCGCCTTCGGCATCGGGTTTTTGGTCAGCGGGCTCTGGGGCGTTGCGGAAGAGGTGATACTGAGCGGAATCGGTGAGCTCGGGAAGAGTCGCAAGTCCCGGCAGATGGGCTCGACTGGCGGCGGTTGCGAAGCCGACAACATCGCGATCGTGGATGTGGTGGTGCTGGAAGGGCGGCGGTGTGGCGCCGGCTGTCGCATCGAGGGAGGTATGAATCGTGATCGTGGTAGGGACTGGCGCTCTTGAGTGTGGATTGATAACGAGGCGAGGTCGCTCGTCCTCGGTTGTTGAGGCGTAAGATGATCTGACCACCATGGTGTTACGGCGCTGGTTTCGGACGAAGTGGGAAACAGACGCCCAGAGCTGGGAGATTTCGGTGGGATCGGATTCTGGGATGCCATCAACCTCGAGCTTGCGGATGGGATGGGTTGGGGATATGTGCTCGGTCCCGTTGCTGGAGGAGGAGGTGCAGGGGACTGACGGCACTTTCTCGTTTTGACCGTCGCTTTCCTCTTGTCCCTTATCTACATTCTTGATGATGCTGTCATCGTTCTTGAGGTGGTTGATGATGACACCCACAGGCTTTTCGGCAGTGTTCAAAGGGCAGTCTCGAGACGGTTGTCTAGGAGGCACAACAGGTTGGGGGCCTTTTGATTCAGACAGTTTCTTGGTTAGTACATTCTGTCTCCTTCCCCGAACATGAACATATATCTGCCTCATTCTTTCTTGAGTGGTTGGGCCGGCCAGTGGAGCGTATGCCTTGGGTCTCCTCGCCCGACAGAAGATTGACGGCAAGTAACGTAGAGAACAACAAACAAAGAACATAGAACATACCTGGTGCTGCCGCTGCAGGTGCCCGAGATTTGCTGACTGCTGTGGCTGACTTCTGTGTAGAAGAGGCGACATTGCCGCCCTTGGTGGTGGTGGTCTGCTGCTTCTGCTGCTGCTTCTGCTTCTGCTGGCGCGACTCGGATGGCAAGCTATAGGAGTTGGTGATATCGTTTAAGGTCTTCCTTTGGCTGGCCATTGCTGCTGCTGTGCTGTGATTGTCGCTCTTTCACTAATTGCAGTGGCGGCGAGGCGTGTCCCCGAACTGTCTGTATTTTCTTCTTTCTCTTCCCTCCTTCTTTCTTGTCCACATACACATGCAAACACACAAAGAGACAGGGGGACACAGACGTACATAGAGAATGAATGTTTGTGTGAGAGAGAGAGGGAGAGAGTACGAGGAAACGAAGGACAACGGAGGACAACGAAGGTGCTGCTGGAGAACGAACTTCATCGTGTCTTTTTTTCTTTGGTGTTTAACTCAGCTAGATATGGTACCTAAGTACCTAGATTCCCCGCCATGTGTACCTATGTGCCTGGATACAGAGACCGGGAGACATCTGCAGGGGACAGACATCGAAGTCTCCACAAGTACAGTGCATGGAGGGGCTGTAGGGCTGCAGCTTACCTACAATAGGTTAGTCTACTGCCTAAGCTCGCTACTGCGTAGCTACATCGAGAGCTTCCAGTCTTTGTCAGGCTTAGCCGCAGCCTCAGCCTCAGCCTCAGGCCTGACACAAGCCCACTACCTCCAAGTAAGCCAACAAACCCACTACTGCATCAACATCAACATCAACACTACCACCGCCAGCTCTGGACTTGATGGACAATAGCAAAATGAGAAGTAAAGAGTGCCAGACACCGCCTACTTAATTACCACCAGACTCGATCATGAGCTCGAGCCCCTAGAAACCGACCCCTCGTTTCTGCATGATCTTTGGGCTGCCGTCGCCGCCCATAAACGTCGCCTGGGCACACTCACTTCTTTCGCGCCCTCCCTCCTTTCATCCTTGTACTACAGCTACTCGACGGGCTTGCCAGCGCCCACAGCAGCAGGCTTGCAATCACCCTATCTACAAGGCCAGAATAACGACGCCCTTGCCGCGTTCGTCAGTATGGGCGACAAGTCGGCCATCACCAACCGGATTCGCTACGATAGCAGACCTCGAGCTTAGAAAGCCGAGGAGTTCTTCGTCATGCTGGCAAAGCGGAATGCTGGTAGTCTACAGAGCAGTTGCCACGTCGGCGGCCAGCTGGAAGGGGGGCATGGCCCGGGCGGGACGGGATGCTACCACGGAGGCGACAGGCACGACAGACACAGACTTTCAAAAGCCACGCCCAGATCGTCTTGCCCATGCACTGGGCCGTGTGTACATATCGGACGCTGTGGTGGAGGAGTTTGGCGCAGAGAATCGTAGGCTCAACATGCTGATACCGACAGCTGCCAGATCGAAATGAACATCCTCCAGCATCTGCTGCGCGGCCATGGCTTCGTCATGCCACCAGCCGCTAAAGCTGACGACGATGACAAGCGCAGACAACGCGAGGGTGCTCGCATGCTCGAAGATAGCTCAGAAGGAGACGCTCCCTCTCAACAGCGAGCACCAACCACGTCCACGTCCACGTCCACATCGTCAGCCGCCTGGCGCAATGCGCGCTTTGGACCACCGTGTCTCCTTGCGGCGCTTCGCTGGTGGGTCTGTGGCCGACCTTGTCATCCTGGCCGTGCTCCTCGCAGCCCGGACGTTCGAGGTGTGGTCCTACAGGCTTACCGACGCGACCGTTGCCGACCTGGACGCCCGGCGGGGAGAGGCTGTTATTGGAGTGGACGGACCCAACTCTGTTCCTTCGCCTTCGTCGCGTTCGCCCAGCGCCATGACGACAAAGGTTGCGACCTCACTTGCTGCTGCGCTTTTCCTCGATAAGGAAGAGGAGAAGGATGTGGAGAAACAGGAACGAAAGCAAAAGAAGCAGGAGAAGACGACTGCCTCTCATCGCTCACACTCCACGAGGCGGCGGCCCGGTCGCTGTGGGGGAGGTGGCAGTGGCAGTACCCGACAGTACACGGCAGCGCGAGTTGCTTGCGGCAGGGTCGATGCTGACAGCAACTGTGGTCTTAAAGACCTGGTGGCATGGCTCAATGAGGCGCACTACTGGGCTGCGACGACGCATGGGCCGGCATTGCTGCTGTTTGCGTCCGGGCTCAGCAAGATAGCATGTGAAGGAGAAAGAGGTAAAGGGAAAGAAGCAAAGGACAATGTGCCCGAGACTCCTGTCTACATAGTCCATCATATATACCAGGATATATTCATGATCATTGTAATCAGATATTGAGTGCTTAGATAATCTCACCAGATAACGAAAGAAGAAACTAGGAAAGATATAGACAAATCAAATAGAGAGTAGGGTTAGAGTCTTATGTTATTATAAGGTCGTTCTTGCAGAGACCAATATATATATATCTAGATCACTGTTAATCACAAGGAACAAATAGGCCAGGTGACAGTCAGATAGACAAATCAAAAATAGAATCCCCGACAGCGACACACGGATTACTAAAATGACTAATACCTTGCTATGATGTACACCTAATGGCTATGGGAAAGCTTAATCTGTGGCAGGTTTCAGCCAGGTCTTCCCATTTCTCTAGCGTCGCTCTACTAAAATCCGACATCTATGCTAGATTGTGTTGTACAAAGTCAACTTTCTCCGATTTTCATGTTACTCGCGAGCTGTAGATTGGTAAAAATTGCCTTTTCGGTCAAAATCTGCCGGGGGGAATGAATTTGCGTGTTTTGTGTACCGACTGATGGTGCCACGAATTCTGCGCGTGGCCACGTGATCTACCCCCGCCTCTGCTCCTCGCTCCTCTTCGCCGTAACCACCTAGCCAAAATGCGGCAAGAAGAATAAAAAGCGGCAGATGCACAGAGATAGACAGACGGACAGCGAGCAAGGTATATTTCTTGGCCTCCAAGGCAAGCGACATGCAGACGACGGGCCATAATAATCAATGTCGAGGGGACTTGATTTGAATGGTGGGAACAGTAGATAGCACTAGCTTCTACGGAAATTTGATAGCCCGAGCCATGCCAGGGAGTTTCGAGCAGGATCTAATTAGCGAAACATCGGAGAGCTTCAGCTTAGCCTGAATGGAATTGTAGTTGCCGAAGCTATTTTAAGTCAATGGCTCGGGGCCTGGAGGTGTACCTCCAGCTCTGGCTTATCAACATCGACTGTGAATAGATACACAGTTCTGTAATGTCGGAAACTGTTACTAGCCGTTTCGGGGTTGATAAATCTCCATATTACCACAAGCAGACGCTGAACTTGGGACGGCATTGTACGTTGGAAAGTACCTATGCCAGTGGGAAATAAGTCAGCACCATGCAGCAAGTGTGTCTCAAGTCGTAAGTAGCAAGCAGCCCTGTCCCGCCCGCCTCGATCGATCTCCGTTCGATACGCCGTCCGCCCGTCTTTCGGGGGGCCTTGCTATGCCTGTACATGTACCTTTTATGTTTCTGCTTGCCCGCCCGCCACGACAGCCCTGATGTGACGATAAGAGTTCCTTCTTTTCTTTTTCCTCTGCTTTCGCTTCCCTTCTTATCACCTCCCACTGGTGAATCATAGTTCAATCTGCGGCACGGCTTTTCCTGAGGAAACAACTTTGCTTGTCTCCATTCCCACTTTGCTAGACTACCCCAGCTAGAGCAGGAGCCTACTTATAAATCCGGTCCCAAGCTACCCCGAGCTCCCCGCAGCGCTGCCCCTCCCCCCCGACACCCACCCACCAACAGCTTCCATCTGGCAAAGCAAAGAAAAGGCACGGCAAAACCGACCACGAGACCTTTTTCTCTTGGTAGGAGAGGACGCATAGATTACGCCGAAGCCGCCATTGACGAGACAGACGGACGATATCGCCATATCGTAAAGTAAGCGCATCACAAAAGCCTCTCAGCAAAGCAGCAGCCTCGCACCACACACCCGACCGGACAATGTGGTCCAAGCCGACAGCTCCGCTGAGCGCCAGCCCGCCCAACGCCGAGCCCCTGTCGCCCACGACCGTCAAGCAGCGCAACCCGGGCAAGCGGTTCGCGCAGATCGTCAAGCTCAAGCCCGAGTTCGTCGACAAGTACAAGGAGGTCCACGCCGCCGTCTGGCCCGAGGTGCTGAAGCAGATCAAGAGTTGCAACATTGTGGATTGTATGTCATGTCATGTTATGTCTTTTTTTGTGTGTTTCTTATTAATCAGCTTCCATGTCCTACATCGGACTTACTCACATCACGTCACCTGTGGCACAAGACACCTGCTATCATCTCAGCAATGCTTGGGGCATCTTCCACCTTGTCCTCGCTCAAGCTCAGATGTATGCTAATATCCGTTGCGAGAAACAGACAGTATATTCCACGACGAGGAGTCGGGCATCCTCTTCGCCACCTTCAAGTACGTCGGATATGATTACAGTGGAGATATGGAGCGCATGAAGGAGAACCCCAGGGTCCGCGAGTGGTGGAAGATGACCGACGGCTGGCAAGAGTCGGTTGTGCCGGGCGCCACGAGCAGCGAGTCGGACGGCCCGTCCTGGTGGAAGCCGCTCCCTGAGGTCTTCTATACCCCCTAGAAGACTCGGTCCCAAACAGGCCAAGCGAAGGCAGAGGCCAATCTTCGCTGCTCGCGAGATTGAGCGCTGTATGTGCCACAGGAGTCTTCTGGTCTGCAGTGTTGACCTTCCTGACGGCGATCGCTAGGGACCAATTGAGCGGCCAGACGCATTCATGTTTTCTAACGTCAAGGGTAGGGGTTCAGGTCGGGTTGGGGAGACAGGCGGTTTAAGAGCTATTGTCATGCGAAATGAATCACACGATCCTAGCACGCCCCGTTCCACCATGATCGCTCCCCATGTGCTTGACATATGATTTGCATCCCAAACACCCTATCGCTTCCAGCCACTGAACAGCCCTCCAAAGGCAGCTCCGCCGCCAGGCCCTCCGCCTCCACGACCGCCGTGCCGCCGCGCCTCCGTGCGGATCCACTCCTCGAGGAAGCGCCTGTCCTTGAGCTTGTTGCCGTCGGCGAGCTTGGTGGCGACCTGGGCCTCGCCGGCGTCGAAGCTCAGCAGCGTCGGCACGCTGTTGATCATGTACGTCAGCCCCAGCGCGCCGGCCATGACGTCCGGCGCGTCGAACTCGACCGTGCAGTAGCCGACGCCGCCCTCCGCCTCACCCACGCCGGACTCGACGAGGGACTGGAGAAGCGGGCCCACGACCTTGCAGGTCGGACACCAGTTGGTGGTCCAGAGCGTGAGCAGCGGCGTGCGCGCGGAGGAGGAGAGGAGGAGGTAGGTGTTGAACTGATCTGGGTTTCGAACTCTAGGACATTGAGAAGGGTCAGCGACACGTTCAAGCGGCCTTTGAACGGATGTAGGAGGTGGAATGGGGCTTACGATGCGTAGATCTGGTTTCTGGCCTTGAGCTTTGCAGAGGAGGAGAATGTGGCGCGAGAGGACACTGTCGATGTCGACTTGCATGTGCCAATGGTCCTCGACACAATGCGCCCAGTGACAAGCGGTCTGGCGTGCATGGCTGGATGCATCTTCGTGGGTCCAGCAAGCTTCTGACAATCCTGCCGATGTTGTCGCGGTGTTGTCGTTGAAAATGCAGGATCTTTGTAACCGGTAGTTGAGCCGAGCTTCCAACAATTGCCCTCTGTACCATAGTATTCAGCGGCTGTAGCGGTGGTTCATTGTGGGGCGCCGAGCGCTGGAAACGGCGACTTGCGTCTGTGTCGTCATTGTACATCGGCCCCCGGGCAGTGCCTCCAACTGCCACAACGATAGCTAACGTTAGCTATTGCAGGGCATTCAGCGAAGTCATGGCGACAACATTAGTGATAGACAACGCCTCACTCAGGTGTGTTTGTTTATCTCAAGACTATCCGTGAGAAGTAGTCAGGATAATGAACTGTCACAAAAAGACTTATCATCAAGAGATGTGCACCGTCATTTGCTTGCACCCTTCACCGGCCTTTCGGGGCTCTCCAAGCTAAGAGATCTGACCTGGTGGAGGCTGTCGTCTGACCCCAGAGATGCAGCTGATCTGCAGGTAGGCGGTAGGCGGTATGGGAGCCTCGTCACATGCCTGGGCCCATTGACCAACTACCGTAAGCTTAGCAGGCGTATCGAGTCAAGAAGCAGGGTCTCGAGGGAGTTTAGGGAGTTTGGCTAATGCATAGTCCATCCATACATGTAAAGTGATATCAAGTCAAGGGATGGATGGGAAGATATCTTACAGTAGTCTCATCGCCAATACGGACGGCGACGGCGGCTTGGGCGGAATGGATTTAAGGGGTCCAAGGGAGTCCAAGGGAGTCCACTCCGAACACCTAACTAACCTTGGAAGTGTGGGGCGTCCAGGCGGTTATCATTCTGTTCTGTATGAATTGATTATCAGTTATCTATCTTTCTATCCTGCTTCCTTCCTGCTTCCTGCTTCCTGCCCCCCTTGAACTTGGTCTACTCTTCTCTACTCTTCTATTTCTCTTCATTTTATTGCCATACTCCGGCCTGTCTGCGCAGAGCGTCCAACTGGGAAGCGTCTGGCAGAGGGCCGCTGAGCTGGATACGGAATCTTGCTTGGGGCTCGTATGACATCGCTGCTCTGCTCGCCAATGAGTGATTAGTTAACCTACTGTAGGCCATCGCCACCATAACAAGACAACGCCAATCCGATTTTCAGTCCTACCTAGACTTGACTTGCTGGAGAGCAGACTACGGGCTATCATTCTTACTTAATTGTCTTACTATTCTCCCTCCCATTTGAGCAGTCCATAGTTGCTCTCCATCATCCCTTTCCCTTTTTTCTTCGGCATGGAATGAGCGCGTCTGTTTATCAAGGTGTCGGCATTCATAGAGGATTCGGGTTAGCACGGCGCTGGGCTTACAGGTTGCATATTCAACACAATCTCACACAGCCTGCATACAGATTCGACGCTTCTATCTCATTCTCAGTCTGCATGAGTATTGCATACGGCATATACTTTTCTCTATTGATAGAGTCAGTTTGGGCTTTTCGGATTTGGTCTCAATGGTCTGGTATTGACCATTGATTGACTAGCCAGCTGCGGTACGTGCTGAGAAAGTGCACCTCCGGGTCGCGTTTCGCGCAGGAATATACCAGTGCTGCAGATTGATAACATATCCAATTTCTCCTAATCATGGCGGATAAGTCTCCAGAACCATCCCGGAAGGGCTGGTCACCATTCGCTGGCCGACAGAAGAACGTTTCTTCAGACTCTGAGTCTCCGCCAAACGAGAAGAAGAGCGACGGTCCTGCAAAATGGAGTTTCGGCGTCTTGAACGACAGGGCGACAATTGCTGTCCCGGGTTCGCCCATTTCCTCTCCCTCTCTTCTATGCACTTGCTAACACAGATCAGGTTCCGTTCTACTGTTGGCGAGTGATCACAATGAGCCCCTTGGCTTGCGCAATGCCCCTGCCAGGACCTCTCACTCATCTATTCCCACGGGCTTCTTGCCTGAGCCGCCGCAACCAGTCGAGCCTGTCAGAAAGAAAACATCTGACGGCAAGATCATTCTGGATCCTCAACCCGAGGACTCTGCCAATGATCCCTTGAACTGGCCAACCTGGCGGCGAGACTCTGCACTGCTTTCCCTTGGCCTGTATTGCATGATTGGAGGCGGCTTGACGCCCATACTTGCTGCCGGCTTCACCAATGTTGCAGAGGACTACGATGTTGAAGTCGAGAGAGTCTCTCTGACGACGGGTCTATACATGATGGGACTTGGCATCGGCTCAGTCGTCGCCTCCCCAACAGCCATTCTCTACGGCAAGAGACCAGTCTATCTCGTCAGTGCCGTCTTGTTGATGATCACATCAGCATGGTGTGCTTTGTCCCCAAATTTCCCGTCTCTCATCCTAGCCAGAATCTTCCAGGGCATCTCCGTCAGCCCAGTCGAATGCTTGCCTTCTGCTACGATTGCAGAGATCTTCTTCCTGCATGAGCGAGCTTATCGTATCGGCATCTACACGCTGCTCCTACTCGGCGGAAAGAATCTGGTCCCACTTGTCAGTGCTGCTGTCGTACAGAGCCTAGGTTGGCGCTGGACATTCTGGTAAGCAACCATTGCTGTTCATATTCCCCTATCATCTCTAATATTAATATGTCAGGATTGTCCTGTTTGTGACTGTATTTTCCGGAACTCTACTATTCTTCTTCGTGCCTGAGTCATTCTGGGACAGATCGCCAATTCCGAGGTCGCGAAAGCATCACGGCGGCAGCAGACCAAGTTTCTTCCGCAGACTGTCCTCCAAGAATGTTGTCCCGCGAGCGCCGGTGCCACCCCCTGCTCCTGAGACAGGCGGCTTGCCACCAGCTTCGCCGACACATGATCGGCAAAGAACTACTCACGTAGGCTTTGCAGGTGATCAGGGAGCCGAGAAGGCGCCAGAACCGGCTGGCCTTGCCGGTGAACAGCATCACGTCGGCTTTGCATCGGCTTCGGACACCGACGAAATAACACCTCATGCTTCAGGTCCTGTATCGCAGACACATAGCGCTCGGCAGTCTGAACTACCGTTTGGAGCGACAGGAGATTTGGAGAGCCCCCTAGCTCATGACGGCGTATCTGAGAAACACACCGGCCTCGATGGTCTCGCTGAAGCCGGTGCGGCTATCGACCATGGATCTGGCTCAGTGACGCCACGGCAATCCTCAGTCAACTTCTCCGCCCGACATCTTCCTCAGCAGACAATGGATGACCGCAAATCCAGCTCCAGCTATCCGGCGGCGTCCAAACCACACTACCAGGCTGAAGATCATCACGATACCGACAGTGAGAGGCAGTCTATCAGAGGCACGGCGAGAAACGCTTATACCCACAACTTGCGAGACATGCCCGCGCGGTCTTTCGTGCAACATCTCAAACCCTTTCATGGCCGTATCAACAAGGACAGCTGGCTGAAGGCTGCCACGCGGCCATTTATCCTGTACAGCTACCCATCTGTCCTCTGGTCTGCAGCTGTCTACTCTTGCTCCATTGGCTGGTTGATTGTCATATCTGAAAGTGTGGCCGTCATCTACAGAGACAGCGAGAGCTACAACTTCGATGCTCTGCAGACCGGTCTCGTCTACATCAGCCCCTTCATCGGCGGCGTCCTCGGGACCGCCGTGGCCGGCAAAGTCTCCGACGTCATCGTCAAAGCGATGGCGCGGCGCAACGGCGGGCTGTACGAGCCCGAGTTCCGCCTCGTCATGGCGGTGCCCATCACCATCACGACGGTCATCGGGCTGATGGGCTTCGGCTGGAGCGCGGAGGAGCGCGACGCGTGGATCGTGCCGACCGTCTTCTTCGGCATCGTCTCGTTCGGGTGCTCGCTCGGCAGCACGACCTCCATCACGTTCTGCGTCGACAGCTACCGCCAGTACGCGGGCGAGGCGCTCGTCACGCTCAACTTCAGCAAGAACATCTTCCACGGCCTGGTCTTCAGCCTGTTCGTGACGGGCTGGATCACGAGCGACGGGGCCAAGACTGTGTTTATCTGGATCGGCGTCATCCAGCTCATCTTCCTGCTGTTTAGCATCCCGATGTTTATATACGGGAAGAGAGCGCGCATGTGGACGGTGCGGAAGAACTTCAGTAAGCAACTTTCGGAATCCGTTTTTCACCTCTTTCAGCCATATTTGGAGTCATGGAGACAAAGACACTGTCCTAATATGGATGACTGCTCCCGCGACTTCTCTTTGCGAGCCCTTCCCTACTCTTTCACTGTCCTTATAAGGTAATTACTGACTCCAGATGTTATAGTGGAGAAATTCTAGGTTGATTAGTTGAGGAGGGAGCATTAAGTCGTCTGGCGTTTGTTAGTATCGTGTTCTCTAAAGTTATCAAGGTCATCCAAAACATCATCCGCACTTGTGTATTCTTTCATCCAGCATTTCAGAAGCTTTGCTCCCAAACACAGCGTAGAAAATAGAACTTTACTATAAGAATTGCTACTACATCCTGTCTAAAACGCTAAGTGTCTAGAAGGTAGGGCATTCTCTTAACGACTTATTTAGAATAACCTATACTTGACATAACCCATAGTTTAGCAATAGCTTTTAAAGCTATTTACCTTTCTATTAACTTAGTAAAGTATTAGAGTATATAGTAGCTGCTATAGGATATAACCCTAGCTTTAATGTAGCTTTAATCTTAACCTTAATCTTTAATTTAATATTGTAAAGACCGAAATCAGTGTCCAACCAGTCTCGATAAAGAAGTCGGTTTTAATAATTTATGGCTTAATGGATGGACCCATAAGACGGTACAAAGTTCTAGATCACTTTTATGCCAACAGTGGATCAGATACATAGTTGCTCAAGTATTAAAGTTATATACTTAACAGAGGCCTCAATTTCAAAGCTAACACTCAATACAATGAAAAGCCAAGGTGTTAGAAATCCTATCCAGCTTCCTCAATACGGCCATAAATATACAATGCGTCATAACAATCATTGCTGACATCTTGGTCAGCTTTCCGGCTTTAGAAACAACGTCCCTCCCATACTAACGACCAAAGTACATTATACTCTCCATCCGAGAGAGGCCTATACACATAGTTACACAAACATGATCGCAAAATACACTCTCCACAAAGAAAATGATGATAACACAAAGACCCTTTCTTAATTCACTCGAAAACAACCTTATCCACCTACAACGGCTTATCGACCCAACGCTCATCCTTATTTGTTAGCATTAGGCCCAGCCTTGTCGACTACACCACACTTACAAATTTCGATGGTATTATCCCTCCCCACAAATGTCTCATCACAGTTGCCGACACCGCCAGCAAAGAGATCTTATTGAAAACGGATTTGAATCTAATCTTTCTCAAACCCAACGCACTGATGACCGTCAGGAATGGGCTACCCTCAAATAATATTATACTTATACGACCTACTTATCCCCAACGAAGCGACCAAGAAACGGAGCATAATCCTTGTCATAGCCACACATAACCATAAAGATGTTTACACTGAAAACTTTCCACAAAGAACTGGAAGTTTTCTATACTAAAATGCGTCAGAAGACATTTCATGGACCAAAACAAGGGGGATACAATCCAACGAGGTCGGTACTAATCTCCCTACAACGACCACAAACGCTTCGACGCCCATCTCCATCACAACCGCGAGAGTCGAAGATGTGTTTTTACCTATATTGCTACAGGAAATCATGATATGACGCCTCGAAAACTTCTAGACGCCAAACCCCTTCCGTTAACTTATCTTCATCGATGTCGTGGAGAAGATATCCAGTCGTCATCAATCAGCAATTAGAGGACAGGCAATAAGGTAGGTGGACAAATGCTTGCTGGATGGAACCACGTGGCATGGTACAATTTTGTCTCATAATTCGACGAATCATTGGATGTCTGATTGATAAGGCTTCCTGGCCCGAAATCGAACCGAAGAGGCTTTGAACCCCGCAACCGAGATCTATTCCACAGGCGACGGAGACTTGCGTATAACAAAAGTCCCTCAACAGCATAGCTAGACCTAAGTCCCCGGTGCAACTATGGGAATTGACGCCGGCTTTGATATGGTGCCTAGGCTATCCGAAAATACAAAGGACTCTGGTGATTGGGACCGCTTTATGAGTATTATCAAGAAAGAGTACAAAGACGACGGGAAGGTTGAGGCTACATCGAGCTATATTATCTTCAAAGCAGGAGAGCACCCGATGCTGCCTGTTGAGGGCCACAAGTTTCTCCGATTCAGCTCTAAGATATCGGGCCGCACCGCTGAGACAACGGGAGTATCTGCCTATATCAGCAATGTTACCCGGATCGCGAAAGAACAATTCGGCCACCGCATACAATATTGGGACGAGAGTGTTGAGCAGCATGGTTATTACGACTGGCAAGATGTACATCAATCTATCAGATCATATGAAAAGGTACGATCTGCCTTCCTGCTTCCCCTCGAATTCTTTCCTCATTCTTCCCTATGGCTAACACTTCTTGACCTATAGACAGACAAGTCCGAGATCCGCAGCACCGCGCATCTACAAACCAACGCTGATACCAGTGGTACAACTAAAGTCCCCATTTTTGAGATAAAAGACATCCCGGGAAAGGGCAGAGGGCTGGTCGCCTCTGTTGATATCCCCGAGGGCACTCGGATTGTCTGCGAGAAACCTCTCCTCAAGGTTGAGTCCTCATTACCTGAAGAGTTGGAAAAGGTTATTGCGGCGAGGCTTAGGATCCTGTCCAAACCAGAGCAGCGGCAGTTTTTATCTCTCCATAACAACTTTCCTGGCAAGTATGTGTTTGGCGGAATTGTTAAAACAAATGCCCTGCCATGTGGGCCCGGCTCGCCCACGGGAGGCATCTATCCTACAGCCTGCCTCATCAATCATAGCTGTCTGCCAAACTCTCACAACAGCTGGAATAGCGAAGTCCAACACGAGACCATTCATGCCATTCAACCGATTAAACGCGGTGAAGAGATAACGATTTCATATGATAAAGGTGGTGCTTCTGCTGTTCGGCAGGCATATCTGAAAAAGTCCTTCGGATTTGATTGCACTTGTAGCGCTTGCTGTCTATCTACCATCGATCTCCAAGCCAGCGATGCTCGTCGGGCAGAAATGCAACATCTCGACAATGCTATCGGCGACCCGGGCTGCATGATGAACAATCCTAGGAAGAGCTTGGGAAATTGCTACGCGCTGCTTCAAATTCTGAAGGAAGAATTCAACGGCCATGCTGCGGCGCTTGAAGCCCGCCTCTACTATGATGCTTTGCAAATTAGCATAGCTCATGGCGACCAGGCCCGGGCAAGTGCCTTTGCAGGAAGAGCGTACAGAGCACGAGTCATCTGTGAAGGTGAGGACAGCCCTGAAACGCAGAGAATGAAAGCATTCGCGTCTAAGCCGGCGGATCATCGGAGCTTCCAAGTGTACTCTACAAGGTGGAAGACGTCAAAGAAAATGATACCGCAGAGTTTAGATCATTTACAGTTTGAGGAATGGTTATTCAGACAGCAGTGTTGAAAGGAGTGAGATATTGCTATAGCCTTTACCTAAGTGGTTCATTAAGAGTAAACGACATTCGTATGAGTCTTCACCGAGGCATGAAAGTCTATACTAAACATAGTCGCATATGCTTTATGCCAAGTAGTTAAGTGAAAGTCGCCATGACGGCCACATTGCGCAAAGTAAAACGACATTGCCCGGCACCATGGCAATGGCCTTAACGATCGCCGCGGGGGCACAAAGAACCTTGCCAGCCTGAGGCTTGGAGTTGACATCGTGAATCTTCAGCCCTTCTGGGCGCGGAGGGTACAAATAGTTATATGTGGGTGGTATAGCTTCGCGGACGAGCCTTTTGGTCTGGGCTTTCAACATGGATTGTCAGAAAACGACGCCATCAGCGCAATGACCGCACCAGCTACCATCTCTGCCTGAGGCACCAAAATTCATATTCATATATTAAGGAGTATTATATAAGGGACAAGTTCATATGCCCCATACTTACCTACGCCACAAGGTTGGTCTATGCTGTAAGTTGCCAAACTTTCTCAAAATTTGGATACTGATTTCGGTCTTTACAATAGTAGAAGCTTTATAAGCTTTATAACTATAGATACCCTAAGTACTATAGGTAGGTAGATACTGTAGGTGCTGCAGGTGCTATAGATACTGTAGGTATTATAATAGATATCTTATAACTATAGTAGTGAATGTCCTATAGTTATAGTGGCTAAAAATGGAGATACTTTTGAGATACTGATTTTTGAAGTACTGTCGCTAAGTAGTGTTAGCTCCAGGGAAGACGGAAAGTGAGCCGATTCATAAAAGAATTGACAAAGCACAGTCGTGCCTATAGGCCTCCGTACTCGTACACTCTGCCTATGTGCAGGTGCCTTGCACGTGGCACCTCTCTGTTCACATTTTGTCTCGTTTCCTCTCCTCTCCTCTCCTCTCGTCTCATCACTGACACAACAAAACATTTCACAACAAAGACCACAAAAAAGAGAAATCACGAAAATCTGGCACTGCACAAGAAGGTATAATCCCCAGCGACTCACGACTTGTGACTCGACACTCGAGCATCACGGCATAGCAGCCTCTCGATCACATCATGACAAAGTGACCATGGCAATCTCATTGACACAGACACAGACACAGGATATGATTCCGGCCCCGTCCCAGGTAGAGGCAAGGGCAGAGGCCGGGCCACAAGAGGCAGCAGCGGACAAGGCTCCAAAACCTCTCACGGCAGCAGCATTGCTGCTTGCTCCTGAGAAAACTCAACCCGATGTCCTTAGCTTGGGCTCTGAAATTGGCCACGAGCCTACTTCAGCCGGGACCGCCTCTACTAGCTTCACGCCCATTATCTCCGTTGATCAAGTCTCACCCAACCTGCGATATGCGCTTACTCTCGTTCTGCTTGCCTGTGCCCGCTCATGTGGTCAGGGTTGCCGTGATGCTGCTGTTGGTGCTGGCGCGGCTGATGACGATGACGGCGACGACGGCGGCGGTGGGTTGAAGGAGATCAGGATGGTGGGGGATGCCAGCAACATCAACGGCGGCGGCGGAAACGACGCATCGTTAGGCAACAACAACAACAACAACAACGACTGCGATTTCTGCTCTGTTGCTTCCTCTATTGCAGTAGAGCGGGAGACCGTCAGTTCATTATTGAGTGAACAGGACTATGGCCATCTCCAAGCTTTGACACTGCAAGATCTTCGGAATTGGGGTTTTGGAGGTAAGCCCCCCTTGCTGCCGCCTTGACGCCCTCCGGCACACCGCGCACCACACCACAGACATAGACTTGCTGACCAAAGATGTATTTTCTTGTCGTAATTATAGGCGAGATCCTGCATCTTTATAGCCGCATTCACGGCTCCACCACCATCCTCGAACTTGCTCCGCCTCACCACTATGATCCCGAGTCGTCTCGCTTCACGCTCCGCATGTCCCAAACAGTAACCCATGCCAGAGCCGGCCTCGAGGTGGTGGCCGTAATCCTATCACATGTGCGAAGACGCCTCGAATTCGACCCGCTTGCTTCTCCCACCCTGCGCCCTGACAAGCTCGTCTGCAAGGAGCACATCTCGCTGCCCTTGCTAGGTGGAAAAACCCCATCAAAGACGCCGGATCAACTCATCACTTAGTCGGTGGATGGGTTTAATTTTCTGCCTCCTGTCATCATCGAGATTGGCTTCTCGAATCCGCTGGACTTGAAGACAGCTCAGAGTAAGTAAGACAACAAACAGGCAGACTAGCTCACAGACGGCTTCCCTCCTCCGTCAACTGCCAGGCTGCGATTTGCCCGCCAGTGTTCACCTGCATGATCCTCCAACAACGAGCTAACGCGCTTCTGTCTGTAGAATATATTACATCCAACCCTGGACAGGTCCGTGCTGTCTTGCTCATTGACATCGAGTACCGCAACCTGCAGCAACGTCTCCTCGAGCCCCATCGCGTGCATGCCGTCACTCTGCACCTTTCCGGCTTATCGTCAACGACACCGAATGGGGGGTCCATCACGCCATTGACGGTATCGATGTCCGGGCCGAGGCTCTTGCCGGCCGACAGCTTCGGCTCCACCTGTCCGACTTTCACCACGAGCTTTCAAGCTCTGCTGTAGACATCCCGTATCAGACTCTTGGAGACGCCATCGACAAAGCCCTCGCCGAACAATCCTATACAGACTGGTGGACCAAGTGTCCAGCTGACCCTGCGCCCTATATCAGCGGTAAGAAGCGCTCAAGCGCCATCGTCCATGTGGACGGAGAGGTGGATGTAGTGCTCGGATCCGACGAGAACAAGAGTTCTGCGGCCATACGACACAAACCTGTAGAACAAAGCGCCGATCAAGACAATGACGGTGATGCTGCCGCTGTCGTTGAATTTGTCCCAGAGGTGACTCGTACCCCTGTGTGGGGGAACTTTTCGACCTGGCTGCGCATATGGATCGGATGAAATTGCTAAATACTCTGTCGAAGATGCTACAGAGCGAACAAGCATATACTTAGTATATACTAAAATACTTACTATAATTATAATAAGTAAAACACTATGACTCACTATAATCCTAAGCATATACTCAGTATATACTCAAACAAGGGAGTCTACCCCGAGCCAACTAATTATCGCTTCAGGGGTAGGCCCCACTTAGCTACCCCTTGCCAAGTCACTTCTACCCCTGGCCACCTGTTACCCCCGGGTTTGAAGTGATCATGAAATCGGGAGACTGGGGCTGAAAATGCCCAGTAAGCCAGTAAGAACATCCATGCGGAGGATGTCATGGCTGCGAGGCCGAGGAGGGTGGCGAGGAAAGGGCGACGCGAGTGCGGGCGGCGTGGAAGTTGTGGTCTTCATCTACATTTATGGGCTGCAGCTCGCGGGGGGTAGCTAAGTGGGACACCCCCCTGGAGCAAGATTTTAATGGCGGGGGGTAAGACTGCTTATGCTGAGCATTTGCTCACAATACACACTATAAATACAGTGGGCTTATAGTGGCTAATTCTATTATAGCTCGAGCATATACTTAGCATATGCTAAACATATGCCAAATATATGGTAAACTCATAGGGGACTTAGCCACTATAAGCCACTATATTTATAGTTGACATATTGAGTATATGCATAGTATAAGCATCTCTACCCCTCGTGAACTGTTACCTCTGGTGGTGTAAGCCAACTTCCCGATGCCGACCATGTTAGAGATCATCTTTGTCTCTGTGAGAGCCTGGTCAACAACTTTGCTAAGAAGGGAGACAAACCTGGACAATGTTGCTCGAGACGATCAATACGATGATCAGTAGTCTTCGATTCGTCCCGATCACGGTCGGCGAGATCGCCTGAGCTGTCCGTTGTCCGCCCGCATGGACACTGCCTCCTCTTTCTCCCACCTCAGGAGGAAAAGGCAGCTGGGTCTGGTGGGATACTTGCGGCTATGTACCTGAACCCTTTCGGCTGGAGACATGATGTGAGCAGCTTTCACGACGGATCAGATTCGAAAGATAGGATGTCGGTTGGGTCAGGGAACGACTAGCACACGATAAGGGTGTCTTTTGGACATTTTAAGCTTCATACAAACGACCAGATTTATAGACATCTATGGAATGAGCTATCTAGCAAAAGGAAGACCTTCTCCAGCTGACTAGTCATCTGAAGTGGTATATATGCTACGTGGCAAGGATTGATCTTGCTGCTGGATGGACATGGCGGCTCGCTCCAGCTCTCGAGCAAAGGCCAGCTAGCCAAGCGAGCCAAACAAATTTCACGGCGCGGCGCGGCACGGCACCAGAGCCAGCACCAACAGTAGCCAGTTTTCCTGGCCATCCCTCTCTCGTCTCGGCCAGATCATGCCATTCGCCAATGGGTATCAGAAGAAGTGAACAGAAGCCCCTACACCCGGCAGGTGGCAGTAGAATGCGACGTCGTTTCATGTTGATTGCCAAGCAAGCAAGCCCCAAGACCAAGACACCTTGAAAGGCAAGTGTGTGGGGCTGTGCCTGGCGTGTAGCAGTAGTACGGTATATACAATATAGAACAAAATGGAACCAAACAGGGTAGAGCTGGCTATAGTCCAGCCTACTTCAGGCAATAATCGATAGCCTACCTCAAAAGGGAACAAGCATCGACATCGACACCGACATCGACGTGCGCATTCTTCTGGCCTCCCAAGCTTCGTACTTCGACAAATAGGCCTGATACCCACCCAGAACCTGACCTTGACCCTGACCCTGCCACGGGCTGGTTTCAGTCCAATCTCCGCTTGTGCTTGTGCTTGTGCACCTCCACCTCCTCCTTCTCTCTCTCCCACGTAAAGTCCGTCAGAGGGGGCTGCGAGGCGTACTCCCGCCGCAACTGCTTCCTGCACGCATCACCACCGCGGCGGGGCTCCGAGTAGTAGGCCTTGACCTTGCCGGCAATGGCGGCCAGCGCGGGCCTCGGGATGGCGATTGACTCTCCCAGTGTGGCGACGGCGGGACGGTGTGCCTTGGAGACGAAAGCGTCGAGGGGGATTGCCATCTGGGGGCTTGCGTCGGGGGACACCTCGTGGTCCAGGAGCTGCGTTGAGAAACAAGCAGTCAGTACAGAACAAGAAGAAATAGAAGAAGAAGAAAGGCTCAAAGTGAACTCGGGCGAAAAGACGTCGGATGAGGATCGATTAATGGATGGATGGGTTGTGCCATCATTTTCTTCTCGGTCGGGTCCGGACATACCGCATCAAACTCCAGATAGGGTTGCGCTCTGCCATTCGCTTTCCGGAGCGCGACTCCCGCGAGGCGAGCAGGGTGATCGGAGCAGACGGTGTCCCGGCCCTTGTACTGGAAGTCCAGCACGATGACGCGGGCCACTGCCCCCGCAGATGCATAGAGATAGTCCTTGGCAGCCTCCTGGACGGCATTGTTGAAGCTCCGGCACATGGATATGAGAATGACGACGCTCGGGTCGTGGGGCGTGCCGAAGCTTTCGTCGGGAGACTTAGAGGTATAGCCGCCGGCGCAGACGGAGATGGGATGGTTTCCGAGCCGTTCGATAGAGGAAAGGGTGTCTAGGAGGAAGTGTGTCTTGTCGAGATCTGAGAGCAATGATGCGTGGCGCTGCTGATGCGGCGGCGGTGATGATGATGATAGCTCATTGTTATCGTAATTATCGGTGGGGCCGTTTCGCTGGTTCCTGTCGTCGTCCTCGTCGTCATTCTGGGAAGCGGCGAGTTGCGCCTTGAGGGAGACTGTGGCCTGTGTGACGCCGTCTGCCCGGTCAAGCAGAGTCTGCTAGACTGCGTTGCCCAGGAGAGCAGTGGCGTATTCATGAGGTCCGCTAGCCACCAGGACGGACAGGACGTGGTTGGTTCGATCGTACTCGTATCTGTGACAAACGGCAAAAGCAAGTGCTCGGTCAGCCAGCGTATTTCCAGGAGGGAAAACGGACCAAAGCAAAACAGAAGAAATGAGAGTAGACAAAGAACAGTGAGAGAAAGAAAGGAAAGTTGATCAGCATACCTGAGATGCTGGAGCTTGAGCTGCCACTGCAAAGAGTCATCACCGCCATGAAGGACATCGCGGCGGCCACCATGACCATGCTCCACCACTGCCACCTCCTCTTTCGTCTTCTCCTTGTCCTCCTTTTCACTCTCCTCCTCTTCCTCATCACTGCCAAAGACAGCTGGCGGGACAAGGAGGCGGATGCACTCGTCAGTGACCTGGCAGTGCAGAAAGGGCTCAAGACAAGTGGGGAGGCCTGGTGGCAGGGGCCCAGACACCCAGGCCTTAAGGTTATCTCTGCCGGTCAACTCCATCATGGCAGTGCTGGCAGTTTGTCGCTGTTTTTCACAGTCGCAGTTGATATTGTGGTCGGGATGGCATTGTGATCACATCGGCAAGGAGGGAGGGAGGCAGGAAGGAAAGACGATTGTTGCTTGATAAATTAGCTTCAGCTCAACCAACATCCATCCGCTGGCTGGCAGCCTGAAAGGGCTACTGTACCTTCTACCTGTACCCAGTGTCTTTGTCTTTGCCTTCTTCACTTCTTTCTTGAATAAAATCACAGTGCAGCAACAATGTAAAGACTGTCTCTCTCTCTGATGAGAGATGCGAACTGTAAGATGTGAGATGTAAGAGGTGATAGGTGAGGGGCAAGAGGTGAAGGTGAAGATGAAGGGTGGTGTCGCGTTGTGGGACAAAAGGAAGGAAGGCGCGACAAAGTGCTAGGTATATATAGGTATGGGTACAGGCACAGGTACAGGTATAGGTACAGTATCGGCTAGGTAAGGGTTACTATACCTCGGTACTGTAGGGTACCTTCCTTTGGCAGCTTGGCACATCATATTCGACAAATGACTAGTGAGTACTTAGGTACTACTCAGGTATATTAAACTTGCATGACAAATGTGGCTGGGAATATCTTCGATTAGGTGTTGCATCGAACGAAAGTGGAAGACCCAGAGCTTCTGCGGTGAAACTCTATGCTGCATTGGTGAATGAATGAACTCAATTGCCAAGTCAAGCCGTTATCATAACGACTCCACATCACCCAGATGTGTATGCGATCCGATGTGAATTATTTCTCTTGCCCTTTTCGGACATGACGGAACATATGATTGGTTACTTGGGGGCTTTGTGGATCCTGCACTGGGGTCAGGCTGAGTTTGGCTGAAAGCCTTGGCACGGGCCATGTCACACAAGGTTGAACCTGAACACCGGCCACAGCTGTGACAAAAAGTCCTAATTTGTGCAAACATACCCCCTCCATCACACTCCTACATTCACAATCTGGACCCGGCTGCAATCTCTCCCGGACACACCACTCGCATCGATAGCTTTGTCAACAGCTAGATCAGCGTGGCGCCTGTTCTGTCTTAAGCCCGCATCGAGTCTCATGATGGCGTTCCTCCAGCCTTTTCCCGGGGCGCTCAAGGAGGCTGTTTATACTGAGTCGACGAGAGGTGAAATTGAGGCCCGAGCTGGCAGTTGCGCCAAAGCAGTTGGTGAATATCGCGACACGAGTCACAATCACAATCAAAATCACATCGAAAAAGAAGCCGAGTCCGAATCCGAATCCAGATCCAAATCCAAACTCACTCAATCCTCGCAGATTGATCACAGACTGCTGCTGGTGGCCCTCCCCGAGCAGCTCCGTTGCCGGGTGCCTGTTGCTTACGACGCTGAGTCGCTGTCCTTCAAGATACGTCGCTCTTCTTTCGACGAGGATGCATTGTTTACCGAGTTGGATGAACTGAGATTAAAGTGAGAAAAAAGAATTCTCATGGCCAGACTGTTCTTTTGGCCCCCCAAGCCCACTCCTTCCCTTCCCCCTGCCTCCCTCCTTTTGAGCCTCCAAATTCTCGGGAAACTCTGCCTCATTCTACCCTGCTTGAACCCCATATTCCCAGCCGTCTTTGGTCGCTACGCACGTGCGCTTGCTTCACTGTTAGCTGGCAGTCCCTTGGCTGATTTCTTTCAAAACAGATTCGACTACAACACGTACACGGAGCTCCTGACTATAATGGTCGAAGGCGGTCCCCACGCGCGCGCAAGCCACCTGCTTTATCTCTGGATCCAAGATGCCCTCAATGTCGCGTGCACCGCTACCCATACCGCGGCTACTACCATCGCCTCCCAGCAAGCCACAGAGGCTGGAGAGCTCGACGCTTTTCTCGCAGCCCTGAATTACATGGGCAGTAGGAGAATCAAGCTACCAGAAGAATCTGTCAAGTCCCCCGACGGCTCTTTCTGGCCGACCCCGGCGCCCTGCCCGTCCATTATTTTCCTCGTGGCCATGTCGCAGTCCTGGGACTCGGTGCTTGAGGAGGCGGAGATCTACCTCACAAATCTCTATCCGGCCTTGGTCCGCGTTGTCGTGCTCAAGATGTGCCATAAGGCGCCGGACCGTGTTGTCCGCGGAGGTGACGTCCGAATCGCTGCTGTGGAGTGTGTGGTAGCCGAGGATGATGACGAGGGCGGTGGTCCAACGCTCCGAGGACGCGTTGTGCTCGACAGGGTGAGTAAACCGGGGCGGTCTATTGCTTTTGTCTCTGTCCCAGTTTCTCTTGTCTTCCCAAAGGATCAGTTGTGTCACGCTTTTCCATATCACTTGCCACCTGTGCTGTGCTCAGATCGAGCATGTATAATCGAGCTAACAATTTCCCTCCCCCAGTTCATTCAAAAAGACGGTCAGATGTGCCACAATACATCGACAGAAGACCTCGACCTCATCTTTGCTCTCGCAGACTTTGCGCACCGCAACGACCGCACCCGCGTCGCACGCCTCGGCAAGGTGGTCCGGCTGCCGTTTGTGAAGCTGCAAGCGCTGGTCCGCGAGATCGAGCATATCTTCGCCGACGACTCGCCCATAGACACGAATCTCGGCCCCGAAAAATATCCCGGCTTGCGAATCAAGCCCAACCTTCAACGTCCCGCCTCGTAGAATGTAGCTGATATTGGCGGTGGCAACGGTATGGATGGCGGCAGCAGCAGTAGCAGCGAAGATGAAGATCCGGACGATGGCGCTCTTGCTTGTGGAGATGTGCCGTATCGCGGAAGACGGCCGGAGGCGGGCGATGGAGAGGGACGACAACAGTGTATGCAGCTCCGCACGCGTCATACATGAGACGAACTTGGAATGGAGAGTGACCCGCGCGGTCTTTGGCGGGGAAGTATGATGGAGCTCCTAAGACCACATCCGGCCTGGTGATATAACCACTAGAACTTCTTGTTGCTAATGAATCTGCTCTCTCACATGTTTGAGATGACATTTGGCATAGCATAGTCCGTCGCTACTACAACCCACCCACCATTTCCTTCATGGACTTTGTAAGATTGTAAGAACTATGGTACATTTATTCTGCCTCAAACCATTGAAGCCGTCATTACCACTGACGTCCCCAAGCATACTTCATTGGTTTTTAATCTGGATACAGGTTAAGATATGAGAGCTTTCTCCAGCATAAAACTGGTATACGGATAAGGCGGCCTCTCCGTCTGCATCTGCATTTGCGGGCTCGCTGCACACTGCATTGCACACAAACAAATACAAATAGCACATCTATCTGTTTTTTCGAATCGCATCCGAATGCCATCTATCGACTCTTGAAGCAGTCATACCGTCCATTATACTAAGTGATAACGAACCACAACAGCCGTCGTCTAGGGGCTGCCGAATAATACTGGAGATAACTTTCACCAATACTTCTCCCTTTCCACCTTCAATCCATGGTCCTCCTTCCTCCTCTTCTTTCGCTTACCCAAGTTTTACCTTCTTCCCCCCCAAAAAAGTAGATCATTTTGATCACTATTTTAAGCTCTATCAAATTGTGAACAAAATTGGTAATTTGTATTAATCTGCCCACTCCTAAAGATAATTCTAGCTAAAATATTAGATCTACGCGCAAGGTTCGAGAACCTATAAAGCTTGTTAAGCCCATGGCCTGACTTTAGATTGGGCAGTGAAAAGCTATCTATGACCCCAAAGATAAAGAAGGAGATGATAAGTGGAGGTTGGAGGAGGAAAGAAAAGGGGTGGAAAAAATTTCAACGGGGGAGGACGTTGAGAGAGCAGCATCACTCATCTCATTGCCATGGCCTGCCTAGTCGCGTCACGATCCCGCGTCTATGGATGTCCATGAGACAGACTTGTCGAACAAGAACAGACTCACCGATGCCAATATAGAGGTCGCAAAGTCGCGGTCTTCATGATGGAGGGAGGCGGATCAGATCTGGGAGGGTGAATCCGGCAAGACCAAGATCAAGAAAGACAGTAGGGCAATATGAGAAGCAAGCACACAGTACAGTATTCAACCGCCGAACTGTATCGCGGCAACAAACAACGATCGCATTATATACAAGAAAAGCTGCTTGGTGGACGAGTCTGGCTTGCTGGCTTGGACAAGACAACCCGAACAGTCCAGTGGCAGCCGAGGTGGAATTGACGGCGCATCGGCTCCCAGCCCTAGACAGGGTGAAGAGGACGGCTTGAGCGATGTCATATATCCAGGAAAGTTTGAGGGTACAAAGTCGCCAGTCTTAAAGCCCCTCAAGCACGATTCGTCCTGGGATCTACCCTAGGCCTAGCTCTTTCGATGACGACAACGACGACGACAATATTATGGGTGAATAAATGCAAAGACAAAAGATCCCAACGACTAAGTACGTCTCCTAATATCCTACGTACGACAAAACCTGTAGCCCACGATGGCCGCCGCCAGTACCCTCTCGTCTACCCAGTTCTCCGGCGTGATCTATATGTCAAGGAGCTGGAGGTCAAACATGGGCATAGAGGGGTTACACACTATCGTATGTATAGCCCAGCCGGCAGCGAGGAGGTGCTATACGACGGCGGAGCCTTATGTGCCTATCGCGCCGGTCACGAAGGTGGTGGGTATGGTGCTGGCTGACATGGTGGGGGTGTCGGTGAAGGTGGATAAAGGTGAATAGGGCTGGATAAGGGTGAATAATAAGGGTGAATAGGGGTAAATGGGAGGGTTCGAGGAAGGTCTCCTGATCTCTCCTGATCGCAGTAGGAAAGGGTCTTGAGGTTTAGTGACGAGCAAAGACTACTTCTACTAGAAATCTAAAAGATATTCTGGTGCCTTTTAAATTTACAGCTGGATCACAAATGCATGGCATCTCATAGGTTCGTTCGGCCACCAAAATTGCGGAGCGGGAGACCAACGAGTGAAACTCCGGCAATATCATCACGCATCTGGGACGGCTCTTGTAATGTCACTGTGAAAAGTAGGGCAAACTGTATTCGAAAACAGCCAATCAAGAAACTGTGACTGACAAAGACTCAGCGAATGCGACCAAGCCAATCCATCATGGCAATGTCCTAGACGGTCATGATGTGGCTGGGTTAGAGGCAGCGCTTTATCAGCCTTCTGAACGCATCAATTCTCTCGGGAGGAGAGTCTGGATACGATTGATTTTCTTTGTGGTTATTCTCCTACTTTATCTACATTATTTTGCCCTGCCTGGTCTTTCAACGCAGCCACCTCTCACTTACGTTTAAGCACCAAGGTATTGGGCAATTGTCGGACATCATGTCAACTTCAAACTCACACTTTATAGTGAACGAGTGGGTGGTATACGGCGACGAGACCTCTTCTGAGATGGAAATTACCGACTTTGACTGCAGAAGAAGGCTTCAAGTCGCGATACCGTATCTTGCCCTACGAGGCCACCCGAATGATTCCTTCGAAGGGATGAACTATGAAGATCGAGTCAACAATCGGCCGGGGGTAATCCAAAAGATCTTGTTGCCGCTTCTGCCCCTTCTTTCGACACAGGTAACGGCGGTTGACTTTTCCAGCGATGCACAAGTGCTCTTGCTGTCGACGAAAACCAGAGGACGACGTGAACAAATATAACTACTACCCCCCTTTCTCAGCCTACAGCACTGTCAGCAGAAACATTTCTACTATCCTACGATCTGAGTTGACTGGGCTTCGTCGCCTCTCTCCCGGTGTAGACTTAATGTCTTACGATGAAGATGGCCACGAGAGACCCGTTGCGTTCAAGTATCAGATGGAGGGTTGGAACACGGACAGAGGGTTGTGGAATCTCGCTCACATCATGATGGCACTTCCACCTCACCCTAGCATCCCGGCCATTGATCGTCTTGTCCTAAAAGAGATTACAAAAGAAGGTGTTGTTGGATTTACTATGAAGTTTGTATCTGATGACACATTGTACAAGAATAGGTCTCGGGTCTTCAAGTTGAAGTGGCTGCGTCAACCAATGGCTGTTGTTGACGACTTGAACCTACAATATGGTCTTATGCAACAGGATATTGTTGACCGCAACCTTCTCATCGACAACGATACCGATACCATACAGCTCATCGACTTTGGCAAGGCTTTTCGAATTGGATCGAAGAGACAATACCCTGGGCAGAGAAACTTGCCTGAACTCAATGATGTGAAGGGTGTAGTCGTCTTTCTCAACTCTATCATCACGGCCAATCCGACATGTATTAATTGCCGTCTTGAGACAGTGGAAGAACCAGACATTGGTGACCCAGCACAGTGGGTGAAACACCCTAATGTACGACTGAACCATGATACTGGCCATTTGATAACTGAATTGAGCAAGTGGGTTACGAAGTGACGCTCAGCCACACAGCTCACCCATTATACATAAGCTACACACCCCATTGAGGCACTCCAGACGGTTCCTCCTCGTCCCATGGAATCTGTCCTTCTGCCGCCTGCGGAGTTTGCAGACTTTGACTATCCGTTCACGTGGCTGGAGGTCCAGTCCTTGGGCCGTCCTTACATCAGATGGATCCGGTCTCCAAGCAGTAAAATCGATCGCAATCGGCGTCTCCTTGCTACGGGACGATATGCGGATGAGAAGGGATGGGAATCTAGCTTTGACTTAGACCGTATCAAGGCCGAAATAGCCGCCAAGCCCCCGCCTTGCCCCGAGAGTTTTGAGGCTGTTTTCGGATACTCTGAAGATAGGCGGAAGAATTGCGAAATGGCAGTGGACCAAGAATTGAATATATCGCAGGAAAAGACCGCGATGCTCAAGAAGCTTCAGTCTAGTTATCACCCTCTTGGTGCTGCTCCCGCAGACGCCACATCAAACAACCCCTCTGCTGGCGAGGCGGTGCGTGGGAAGAAACGCAAGGCAACTCACGCTCCGAAGGGTGTTAAAGATAGGGGTGCTGGGGATGCTGTCGGTGGGCCAAGGGAAAGAGCTCGAACTCGTGTTAAGAAGACTGTTAAATTTGACCGGTTGCCGTAGTCGAAGGTCAAGCATTGCTTTTTATTTTAATTCTAGATGCTGTTAGTTGCGAGATAGTTGCGAGATTTTGTTTGGGATTTGGGTCTTTGACGCTAACTCTTAAATCGACCAAGGCGCTTGCCGAATCTGGAGCTGCCAGCATCCATATAGATGACCTTAAATTGTTAGGACAATTGAGTACCTCTGGCGACACACTATCAAGACAAGAGCAGCAAATAGTATCAATGATGACAAATCTTGCCCCGGAGCCGGAGGGCGGCTTAAACTCCCTTTTAGCACACAGGCCAGGCATATATCACCTGACTAGTCACATGACACTTTTCCTTGCTCACCTTGTTGCCAATTGGTTCATATGTAAGAGATAAATTACTCCGGGATCCAGCCAAAATGGGAAAACATCTACTGCAAAAGCCAGGAGGAGAAATTCTAGTTTGATAAGGTAAGGAGGGAGCGTTGAGTTGCCTGGTGTTCGTTAGCACCGCATTCCGCATTCCCTGGAGTTGTCCTTCTGTCTCTAGTAGCATGTCTGATCCCTGGCGACTATCATTTATAGGACAGTAGATATAGAGGTTAGATCCGAGTAGCAATATGAAAGAATTGTCTCTGATTGAACTCTAGTGCTTCAAGTTGTGTCACGATATGATATTTACCCAAGCTGTGTCCCCCTATTTTGCTCCACAGTGCGTAGTCACATAATGCCGCACCGTACTCTTTCCCCCACCACTGTCAAAGTCTCTGAAATTCAGCCTTCTTTTACAACCATTATGGTCGGGTATGTTCCATATGAGTCACAATGACGTCCAGGATACCGCCGCTGCTAGACTCATACCTGTCTCTCCCGCCGGAAACATCGCTTATCGTCCTCACGGGTATTCTCGGCGCCAGCACAAACTGGCTCGCCCTCCGCTACCTCTACAGCTATCTCAGGAACCGGGCACGCACAGCCGCCGAGCCTCTGGACTCGAGGGCGCATGATGCAGAGAGCTCAGATGAAGTGAGCGTTTTGCTTGTGAGCTTCCTCCGGGACTTCACGTTTTGGAAGGAGGGCGCTGGACGATTGGTATGTGCTCTTCTCATGTAGGGTTCTAGCATGGTCTTTTACTCACACAGTGCGCGGTAGGGCATCGACTTGGAGGCATTGGCGAGAAAGGGCAGGTTCTCGTTTGTGGATGGCTTGAGCGGGCTGTTCTCGCCGGTATCTGATGGTGCTCCTCCTGCTGCTGTAAAGACGCCTGGACGAGACGTCCTCACGAGCCCTCGGCTCCAGGACCTGAGTCGGGTGCTGAATGCGGCCATTGACGGACTACAGGCTCGGAGTCAGGGCAAAGTCGTGTTAGTCATTGATCAGTTAGACTTCTTGCTCGCGGCCACTGGAGAAGATGAGTTAACGGGCAATGCTCTGCGAGGCACGGTTCTGGACCTACGGGAGGTACGGTCGACAGTGTACGCTTACAAAGGCTGGGAAAGCTAACACCGGCTACAGAAAGTACATGCATGTGTCATGACGCTCTCAGCAGACGAGCCTCTGATATCCGCGCAGACTACGACGCTGGAGAAGGAGCACGCGGCCTTTGCTTTGTCATTAGCACACGAAGCGGAAGCAGTGCTGAGTCTGAGAGTGTTGGACACAGGGGCGGCGAAGGATGTAAGTGGCGTTGTGAGAATCACACGGGGCGGAGGTGATATGGGCAGGGCGATAGATGAGCATGAGTATCTATATCATGTTGGGGGAGACGGGGGTGTCCGAGTGTTTGAACGAGGTCAATGATGTTATAGTAGTTCCTGTAGGAGAGATCCCAAGATGGCCATCGCGAAAGTCTCACAGGTCGAGAATGGCTCTTTTCTGCATGCTTGGGTGCACGAAACGGGTAGAGGTACGAGCAGTGGTATTCGGAGTCGCTCATGACCATTGAGGGTCTCCCAGTCCAGCACTTGCTTCAGACATGGCTCGTCACCAATTGCCGACCATACCATTTCCAACTGAAAAAGTCACGCAAGCATATCAATATGCCAGATTGCATTCACCAAATGCGATTTTGTGACAATGCTTGTTGGTTGAGTCGCACTCAGCGTTCCATTGAGCTACGTACGACCCTCGCGGTACCTCCAAAGACGATAGAATGCCGTTTTATGGTGACCTTGCTGATAAGACCGTAACCGTGATCCTTGAGAATCATAAAGCAAAGAAGATGGGTTCCGATCCGTCCATTCCCACTACACGCCCTCGAAAATGCAGCAGCAGTCCCCCGATTGTTCGCTTCCCTCTTTTATCGCTTATGCCTTTGTCGGGCCACGGGAATCCTTCGGCGCGCCGGTCTGGAAGCCGTTCTTGAATTTGCGGGCAACGGTGCTCAGGTATCTCATGCGGCCGGTGCCGACGGTCTTTCTCCGCTTGGCCTTCTCGCTCCAGTTGTCTGTTTGTCAATCGTTAGTACCCAACATCTTCATTATCTCGACCGGCAGAACTTTTCGCAGCATCGAGGCATCGGGAAGAGCGTACACTTTCGGGTCTTAGCAGCAGGGTAGCCGCAAGATGAGCAGGTGTGCTTCTGAACGTGCAGGGATCGGCGACCTGTATGTCGAACACGATGTCAGCGCTCCTTATCCTCGTTACGTGGACTTTCAGTCGCCAGACGCGCCTGTCTCAACTCGTCCAGGATTCTTTTCGGGGGGTATACTAACCGCAGCGACGGCACAGAGTGTGCGTCTTGTTGTGGCGCTTTCCGAAGGAGCTGGTACCCTTTGCTATTGTTGTTGTTAATCGCTTGAAGACCGTGACTTTAGGACATGTTCGAACGTACTCATTTTGCCTGGGTTTGTCGAGGAGTCTAGATGATGCCAATTAGTTCTGAGCTCGTAGAGTACGAGAAACAGGTGGCTTAAAGTGCTACTGCCACAGCGAGAGAGTCGCAACGTACCTTCTTGACAATGTTGGCGAAAGGGTGCTTAACTTCAATAATTTGGGATGGTGGACCTAGCCGCAAAGATTGGCTCGGAAAGATACAATTTTTGCTGCACGTGATACAAATTTTTGAAAAAGTGCGAAGGGCAAGAGCGAGTTGCCGCAGTGGGCCCGACTTCTGCTTAGCGGTTTCGACTTTCATTACGTCACGTGCTAGCGCACCTGACTGGACTTGCTCTTAGTTATTACATAAGTCTCGTGAGTGAGAGTACTGCATGATTCAGTCTTAAATCTCACCTTGGTTAATGGCACTAAAGTGCTGTGACTCCACTGATTGGCCGAAATCTGAGAAACGATGTTGATCCAATTGTTGATGAAGGTTCTTCTCATCGCTACTCGGGAAAGGATTAGTGGAGCTGTTTCCGCAAAAAGGTGATCTTTTGTCTATGAATCTCGGTGCTGTGCTTCTCCCTGAGGGTAAATAAACTTCTTCATTCAATAACTACTCTCCCACCAGGGTAATAAATGTTAGTTCAGCAAGGATATCACTGCCTCCTTAATAAGAGGTTACTACCTTTATAAAAGGTGATAGATCCATTTCAGTAATACCTTAAAAAGGGTATTTTCAGATTCAAAATGTATCTTGTCTGGAGAGTCAGACCTCCCAGCATGGACCACAAACATATGCATTCATTGTATGACAGTCCGCCCAAAGCCATGTCGAGACCGCAACCCAGCCTTAACACCGAAACACCGAAACACCCAAGATTTGAAACATCGCAAGAGACTACAGTTTGACAGGGCTGAGCACTTCTCAGGATCGAATGTCGAGCATCTGCTTGAGTAAGGTCTCTGAAGCCCTCCACCAACGACCTCTCTCTTCCAGATCATCCTCCACGCCTCCGAGTGCAGCCTCCTTCCTCCTCTTTGCCTCCTTTGCTGCTGCTGTGCTGTTCTGCCGCTTCACCTCCAAAGGCTGGAGTTCGGCTTGGAGCCTCTCCATCTCCTTCCTCTTGCGCGGCACTTGTGACTGGAGCTGTTCAAGTTGCCTATCGAGCTCGTGCTTCTGGCGCTTCTTCTCTTCAACCAATTCCAGTGTCTTTGATAACGGGAGACTCAGGCTAGGATTCTCGCCCGGCTCCTGCGCCTCCTTGAGCTCGGCAATGCGATCTTCCAAATGCGCAATCTTTGCCGGCAGCTCCTTCAATGTAGTCGTCTCCAGCTTGACGTTCTCGTACCGCTTGCTCAGGTCGCGGCCCTTCTTCTCTAACTCCTCCACCATGTCTGCCACCTCCATCTTCAGCGCCTTGAGCTGCCCCTTGGCCGCAACATTCTCCTTCTCCAGCTCGATGTTCTCCTGCGGAGACACGATCAGTGGCGGGTCGCCCACGATCGCGCGGATGAACTTCTCCTTTGTGACCTGCTCCACGTACGAGAAGCGGAGCTTTGCGAACAGCTCCTTGTAGTGCGCCAGGTCCGCCTCGAGGCTTGCGGGTGTCGGCGCGTCCATGGACGAGTTGGAAACATCTGAGGTCCTGACGCCATTGCCATCTTGCGGTATTGCGCTCAGGATGGGCTCGCTGATCTTGATTATGCTGATTTCATGGTTGCTTTGCAGCTCGGTCAGGTTGCGGAGGACTTTCTCGATCTTCTTTGTGTCCATATTGACGTGCAGTGCGATTTGCTCTCTGCGATTGTCCCGCCCGTTTGCCTTTAAACAACAGATCAATCAAACTGCTTGCGTGTTATTGTTTACGCGGTCAATTATAGGTTTGAGACAGGTTCAACTTCAATCTTCTGATCAATCGCGAATCTACATTGAGTGTTTACATAACACCTGCAAATAGACTAGCGCGCATTTTGCCCTGCGCCTGTCGCGGGGTGCGTCGCCCGGCCAGACTTCGGCAGATCCGATAAGCACGATAACGCTTCCTTTCCTCGTCATACCTGACCTTTCCGAACGGACCACAACTCCTTGGCCTGTATTGTTTCAATAACTGCACCTCTTAGCATGAAACATCGTATGTAGATCCTCTTCTTTGGCTTCGTGCCCTTCTTTGCTGTCAAAAGTATATCTTAGCACCGCCACCATGGCGAACGACGAGCTGCTCACCGACGAGTACGTCGCCGGGCTCCTGGCGAAGGAGGCCAAGGACGCCTCAGCGAAATACTCTGCCATGGGGCTCGAAGCCTACAACTCTTCCCGGTACGTCTTTCTGTTCCTCTCCAATCTCTCGCGTGCGGCGGCGGCGGGCGGCGCTAACGGCTGAGGAAGGCCCTCGAACAAGCTGAAGCCCAACACGCGCTTCCTGCGCCACATCATCAAGGAGACAAAGAACCACAACGAGGCGCTGCTGGCAAGGGAAGCCGCCGAGTCGCAGGCGCGGCTGCAGGACCTGGCCGAGGCGGAGGACAAGAAGAGGAAGCGGTACAAGCCTGAGTCGGGGGCGATTAGGAACCGCCAGCTCGGCGACATCGCTGCCATACTGGGGGGCAAGAAGCGCAGGCGAGCTGCGGAAGAGGAAGGGAAGGAGCAGTTGGGCCCAGCGAGGGCGAGCGTGTCCGGTGGGTCTTCGAGAAGAGAACGCACGAGCGACTCGCATCGGTCAAGACATGCACGAGACCGAGACCGAGACCGCGATCGAGATCGAGAGCGGAGCAGGTCGCCAGGAAGGGAAAAGCGCCATCACCGCACGGTCGACGAGGAAGAGTCTAGGAGACACAGACACCGTCGGCACCGCTCGCCAGACGAAGAAGACGGGCGTCGAGAGGAGACGAGGCATAGAGATCGATCAAGGTCTCCGAGGAGTCGGCACAAACGACACAGTGAGCGCTCGCCTGCGCGTGATGGCTCGGAGACTGGACACCTAAGCAGAAGCTATCATCGACGATCAGGGAAGGATGATGGCCGGCTGAAGCAGGACTCTCCTCCACAGGACGAACCAGATGAGGGCGAGGACTCAGACCCCTTAGCAGACATCATCGGGCCGGCTCCGCCTCCTCCAACTCGCATCCGCGGACGAGGTGCGCCCGGCTCGTCAGCCATGGACAGCCGGTTTTCTGACAACTACGACCCGAAATCGGACGTGCAGCCCGACACAACAGCTGGCGACGACTGGGACGACGCCCTCGAAGCTCTTCGCGACCGAGCGAAGTGGAGACAGCAGGGCGCAGATAGGTTGCGTGCGGCGGGATTCACCGACGAGCAGGTGTCGAAGTGGGAAAAGAGCGGTGGTGAAAAGAACATGGACGACGTCCAGTGGAGCAGGGCGGGAGAAAAGCGAGAATGGGACCGGGGCAAAGTTCTTGGTGATGATGGGACGATTGGACATGGCGCTGAATGGGGCGAGTAGGATTGGTCGTCTCACTTTCGGGTAGAGTCTGGCTTTTGGGAGATAGCATAGCATCGTGGGTTGGATTTTGAGCATCAGGGTATCATTGGGTTTAGAAGCGAGATCTAACATTATAGACATGCTTCGACATGCTTCCAGAGTGCCGCTGGGGTTCTTCGTGCAGTGACTGGGACCATTATGGCGATGTTGTATCATTGAAGCATTCAATTGAGATGTATTTCCAAGCCGTCTTCGCCTCCGGAGGCGATGGGTATAATGCTCTCCTACCCTCCCCCTGAGTTTCGTCAAGATGGTCTAGGTCTATGGAGCAATTACGGAAAGCAGAGAACAATTCCGTCTTCCCCCTTTCCCTCCCAGTTAGTCATGATTAGTCGGGAAAATGCCCATAATACAAGAGTGAAGAAAACGTGGTGGTATCAACGAGTGTGTTTGTGTCTTTCCGCGGCGCCAGAGTACTCCTCGCCCATTGCCAAAAGTAGAAAGCCTGACCGAAAATGCTGAAAGCTCCCTTTGAGATGAGCGGGTTGAAACCAATTACAGACCATGCGTTTTTGTGGCACTGAAAATGCAACACTGGGGACAGATATATATCATCGATTCCTCCTGTCCTCTGGAGGGCGCTGACGCTGGCTGGATCTAGACGATGATGATGCATTACCCCGGAGGCTATTGGATATCATGCTTAACCAGCCTTCAGCACGGTTCTGTCGCCTCCCGCGTGGCGGCGTTGGAGAAAGAATGCCTTGCTCAACATCTGATTCCCTTTCCGGAGATGAGTGGCTGCTCGAGGCTGACGTCCCGATATTGACATCACTATCGTCGTCACTGTCGTCCCGATATGGTTCATATCTTGGGCTGGACGGTATGCCTCTCGCCAAGGACCGAACAACATCGCCCTTGCAGATGGGACACGTACGTCTCCGAGTCGTCAACCAAGGCGTTCTATGAAAAGTTAGTCTTGTATAGCGAAGTAAAAGACAATGACACTCACATGCACTCCACGTGGAACTCGTGACCACAAGGAAGACTCATAACTTGACTGACTCCATCAATATATTCTTCCAAGCACACAACGCACTCCACCTGCCGTCCCATGTATTTCTTCCACTGGCTCGATGCATGAGGCGTTTTCTCCCGAGATGGTGATCTTGATACCTGCAGTGCGGAATCAACGCGCAGTAGATCATCCGCGTCCGGAATACCAGTAGTTGTCCGAGACCTCGGCCTTGGCCGTGATGAGCCCTGCAACAGAGGCGTCGTGGGGGATGAGCTGTGTGGTGATGGTAACCTTGGAGACAGACTTGGGGTAGACGCAACGGTATGATAAGTTCGTACCGGGAGCCTCTCCACAACAGACTTTGGTGCTCTCCAACGTCGACGGCGGATGCGAGCTCTTAGCAGGAGAAGAGCGTAGACGACGCACAGGGTTATGAGGGGGCTGATGACGAGTACCAACAGAGTGTCAAAGAACGGTGTCGCGCTGCCGGTCGGGGTGATAGTAATCCAAAGACCCTCATGGATTTTATCGGCCGGTGGGGTTTGTTGCACAATGGGGGTATGAATTGGATCCGGTTGCGGCCTCGTGTTCGAAAAGTCAGCGCCGTCGTCGTCACCGAAGATCTTTGACATGAGCCCGCCTGAGGAGCTGGAGTCGTCTTCAGTTTCGATAGGTGCAGAGCCAGCTTGTTTGTTTCTCGAGTATTCACCACTACCTGGTGTTATACTACCCCCTTCTGGCCCATTGTTGTCCTTGTTGCCGCCGGTCTTGGCAAAGACACCAGTATTACTTCCCTGGGATGACCCGCTGGATTCTACGAGGTCTGGATCCCGCCAGTCTTGCACGCCGATCTGGAACCCATCTCCTGAACCTTGTTCTTCGCCCCGCTGGCTCTCTCCTCCTCTTCCAGATGCCTTTTCAAGGCTGTTCTTGATGATTTTGTCCTTTTCGTCACTCCAGTCTTCTACAAGAACCCAGTCTAGCTGCCCACTGCTTGGAGGTCTGCTTCGCTCCTCCGCAGCTCCCGAGTGTCTGCCCCAGGTGAAGAGTCTGGATAGCCAGCTGGGCTCCGATTTGCTCCTCAAAGCTTTGCGGCTCTGCTTCTCTGCGTTCTTCTTAGCCACGCGGCCAGTGCTAGATCCTGTGACTGTGGTCTTCTTCGGCGCCGGAGCCGCGATAGCTGTGGCTGGCTGCTTTCCCTTCTTGCGGACCTTGTCAGACTGTTGCACTTTCAACACGGGGTTGCCATTCTCATCGAGGATATCCTCGATAAAACTTCCAGGTTGCATCAGCGAAGACAGCAAGTGGGCAGTCGTCCGCGAAGTAAAGATGGCAGGTATCGTGACATTGGATGTGTCGCCACGTGCAAACATCTGGATGAGAGGGCCGCCCTTCTGATTATCCCCGACGATAAGAGCGATAGCCCCTCGTCGCTGTGCCCATTTCACCTTCTCGAGGAATCCGCATCCGCCACGGCTGAGCAGGACTATCTTGCCGGTGATCTCGGCAGTCTCTTGGATTGACTGTATGTCTGCATGGCTGGTGCCCGAAGGCGGGATCTCACGCCCGGGTGCCTTTGGGCTCAGGCCTTGATGTAGATAATCATCGGTCCCGTCGTCTTCCGGCCGAGAGTTCTGTTGTGGCTGCAGATCCAATGCAGCTGTCCGGTCCACAGCAGGAACTGTGGGAAGACCATCCCTCTTAGAATTCTTCCCCTTGGTCGCCACCCCGCCGGCCTTGGACTTCACGCTCAAACTGTTGGTAGCAGTCTTTAGCTCGAGGTTGGCCAAGCCTTCCTCGAAACCGGCCAAATCGCTGCATCCGAGCTCGCCCTCTCCCTCGCCATCCGCGAGGTTCTCATCGGCAAAGCCGGAGCCTATCCATAACTGACCGCTCAGTCCGTTGGAGGGCAGGTTCGGCCCAAACGCAGCAGGTCGGGCAGGGAAGAAGGTGCTATTGTCGTCGAAGAGGGAGATGGCGGCGTTCGGCGGGAAGAGGGTGAACGGCGCTGTGAAGGAGAAGAAGGACCTGAATGTGGACCTTTGAGGGGTCGCCGGTGTTATGATGGGAGCCGTGCGGCGTATGGAGGTGATGGAGCGGCAGAAGAGGAAGAGAGTCGCGGCGAAGAAGAGGACGAGGATGGCGATTCTCGGCGGGCGCATCTTGACGGTGCGCGGTGCGCAGGGCGCAGGAGGGCGCAGGAAGTCGTCGAGGAGAGGAGGAGAAGACGACCCGTCGGCCTATTCGGGGGTCGACGATGCAGCTACTGAATGAGCTGATGGCAGCAGGAAGACCAAGTCATCCGCGGAACGCTATGGAATCAAGGTCAAGGACGCGGGGGGAGTATGTAAAGCTGTACAAGACAAGACAAGAACAGGTGCATATGCTCCAGACAGCCCGACGAACACACCTCACCCCGAGGCTGTTTCGGGAGGAAAGGGAGACAAGGAAAAAAGAAAATGCGATGGCTGTTGATGACGATGTCAAGAGATCGAGAGTGGGAAAGAGCGAGGGGCTGGCCGGATCACGCGCATGCCCTGGGACAGATACCAGTAGTCATCTGGACCTACGCAGTAACTAACATGCGTACGTACTAATTAATAACCGGCTGACTGGGGCCAAGGCAAGGCAAGGCGTGGCGTGGCGTGGCGTGGCATAACGTTAGCATGGCCAGCAGGTGGAGAGCCGAAGGCGGCACTAAGACGACTGTGAGCATGCCTATAACAAAGATGGTAGGCGGGCTACTGGTCATCCTAGCCCGTGCTAGGGCCGCAAATCGCCCTAGCTAGGGGGCCCGACTTCAAGGGAAACAGGTGGGTAAGCTTCGTAATTTACACTACGATAACGTTATGGATGAGACGGGACTGTACTGTACTGTGATACAGTGTTGACTCCACGTTTTGCAGGTCCACCGTTCCCTGCCCTTCAGAGGCGGAGAGAAAAGAAGCCTTGAGCTGAGACGTGAGACGTACCTGAGACGGTGGCCAACGTGACTGAGGTGACTGTGATTTTTGTCGGGTGAATCCAACATACAGAAGCAAAAGCTCCAAGTAGCCATGTGACCAGAAAGGCGCAACAACATGTCGCGTAACGATGCAGCGGCGCACTATCAATGGGAAAAAAAAATACTGTTTGGTGTCTTTCAAGTCCGTCACGGCACGGCACGTTACTCCATGACCATAACGACACTGCACACACTCACCTCACTCACCTCAAGAATCAAAACCGGATGGATTGGCTTCGTTGTCATTCCCTCGCTACTGACGTTGAAGGCCTCAGCGACGCGGTCGCCAATCAATCATATTTACCCGCTCTTTGTTTTCGATGCCTCGGGTGCTTTCGCTCCAACGGACCGACCACACTGAAGACCACCTCCGCGGCCCCAGCGACAAAGCCGGAAGATGCCGAGAAGATGCAGCGGGCCACTTCAAGGTATTGGGACTGAAACTCCCAGAACCAGTCCAAAAAGGCATCCTCGGATGGAGGTTGCGGGCAATCTGTCCAGCGCCCATCTTTCATCTCTAGGTCTATGGCTATGGACGTGGTCTTATATAGAAACTATGGTCTGTATGGTGCTCACCGTGGCTCACCGTGGCTCACCGTGCTCGCTGGCTCGTGAGCCGCTAGCCTTATTTGGTGCTGAAGTTCTCATCTTATCTTCACGTGACTATGGCCTGCAGAGAGACGGTCAGGTTTCTAGCCATGACATAAACTAATTCGCAGACCTTAGCAAGAGACTGTCAGTATTTACAGAAATCTACAAGTCAGACACTCCATGTCTACAAAGACCTGTAGCGAGGCTTAATAAGCCAGTCGATTGTTCGATTACAAAACAGAAGATAGATATCGGCTTTGTGAACAATTCAATGGCTAGGAAAGACTTGAGATGTCGCTGGTCCCAGATCCTCGTGCCAGGGCGAATGTCAGCGGCTGCTAGTTAGCCATCTTGCTCTTCCGCTCGAAGTATATTTTCTCTTCTTTCACGTATTCCTCCTGCTCCTGTGCTTTTCTTTCAAGCAGCATCATTTTTAGGGCCGTCCATGGAAACCTCGAGCTTCTGATCGACTATCCGGTGATATCGATCAATGTAACCCTGACAGGATGGCCTGATGCCGAGAATCTGGTAACTGAGGAAGCTCCAGTAAACGTCGTAGATATATTCCGGGCGGAAAAGCGCGGACACGATCAAGGTGTGACACCAAGTTTCCATTTTGGCCCAGGCGGCTGACAGAAGTGGAGGGCCTGAGTAAAGTGATCTCTTTCGATTTTATATCGCCTTTCGAAAATGACCGACCTCCATATTGTGAAGCCGTTGCCTATGGCTCAAAAAATGCAGCGTCAAAGCCTGTCAGCTATACCGGGGGAACTAGGAGTTGCAAGGGGACCATACAGCTCCATTCCTAGTCAAGCATCTCTTGGACAAAGACTTTGAAGCCTTGTATAGCGTATAGAATTGAGGGGCCATGCCTACGATCAATCCAAGAATTCTTTCCTTTATTCAGCTCATTTTCCGCAAGCCATACCATAGCGTCAACGTATTCGCTTGCCCGGTGAAATGTTCTTTCTGCTTGGAACAAGGTGGTAGACTCGTAGCCTTTATTTGTCTGGAGAAGTACTTCGACGGACAGTGGGCGATTGCAGACTTGTACAGTTGACCGAGTAGCATCTGAAAAGCCGAGAGTACCGATCGTAGAAAACTCTTCACGGCGTAACTGAATGAAAACATCTGCCAATTCAGTAGGGTAAGTCCACACCACATCACGGCCGTGTCGAAATCCGAGCTCTCGAAGGGTGCTCTCCTACACATAATCCATAAGTAAGAAGGGCATACCGAGGGGGTATCACTTTTTCAGTGAGTACGCATGAATCCCCTGGAATTGTTATCGTTGTACTAGCTGCGACATGGCTGAGTCAGGTATTTAGCTGATGGCCAGGATGCACCTCGAACCTCATTGTGGCAATTTCGACCTCAAGCTTTCCCTCGACCCAGTGAACTCTGTATGGAATAGGAATGCGTATAACCATCGGTCTTGCAGAGCATCTCGAGTTTCAGGCGAAAAGTCGATGCAGAAATAAACATTAAAAGCGCCATGTGCAATTTTGAACACTCTGCAGCTGTCGTCATTATGATGCAAGGAGGCGAGCTGGATGATTTTGTCCATATCAATGGACTTCAAGAAGCTTACCTCGCCTCCCGCATCTGGTCTTCGACAATGTAGTCTCTCATGAAGGTAGGGAAAGGAAATAGAGCGGCTCAAGAGCTGTTAATCAATGAGACTGTAGAGGCTATGCCCGGAACCTAGCTCCTGAAGGCTCCGGTAGTACATGTACGTGGTAGGAGGTGGAGAGTCAAGTCAGGATACCCCCCCCTCTCACCCAATATCTACTGCCCGTATTTTCATTCAAAGACAGTTGTCGCGAAGTTAGTGAAGCGTACTGCATACGCGGCGATGGAAGCTGTTACTCAATGCTGAACAAGTCCCACTACAAGTAATGCCTCTGATGCTTCCCGCCCGTTAGTAGGCGCAGTACCACAGAACGTACCGATATAAGTTACCAATCACGAAGATATCGCGCTAGGATACCCCCTCCCCCTTTCCCCCACTCGCTGAGCTTACCTAATGGCTCTCAGGGGCGCCTATTTGCCCCATAAATGAGCTATATACTGACTCAAACCATGTTTCCTAATAATTAGACTGAAAATATCACTCTATTACTTTCTCACGTGCTCGCACACTCCCCCTATTTCTCGACACAAATTGACAGTTGTGTTGACGTAATCAAAATTCTTTGAGGGGGGAGGTGAGTGTTCAAGTGAAAGAGCTTTGTGGTGTAATGTTTCTCCTATTATATATCCCTTTGTTATGAACATCTGCCAGCCACTGCCGCTTGGAGAAAAAGAAAGGGGAGGTGAGTGTTCGTCACTTGTTCCGAAAATACCGTTTCCGGATGCGAAAAATTACAATGGCCTTTGTCAATGAAAGGAGATCATCTCAGCGAAATCGTACATAAATAGCCTAATTCCTACCATGTAGCCCTCCTAATAAATTTCTCCATCGCAAGCACACACACGCACACACATAGACATATAAACACACATACACATCACAACCTTACACATCACCATTACTCAACATGACGAACCACTGGACCCGAGTCCCAGGTGTCGAAAATAATGGAAATCTCCCAAGCTGCGAGACATTCCGCCATTGTTATGATGTTTATGACCGTAGCCAATACGGCATGAGAAGTAAGTCATTGACCCATTCTAATCCATCGACCCCCTTGTGGTTTGGTTTGTCCAAGAGGATGGAAGCTAACTATAGACACTAAGAGAATGCTCTCTTCCATACACAGCCGGTTGCCACATGTACACTTGGAATCTTCCGGAGAAGGAAGACCAAAAGCATACCGTAGAAGAGGACTTGTTGACCATTATGCTGGACACTGTCAAGGCCGCTTCTAACTCACAGTGTACTGATATTTATTGGGACAAGGATCAGCTCCCAGGAATTCCTTTTCTTACTCGATTGCACTATGGCCATATTAAACATACCTATGACGATTCTCTGCGAGAGTTTGCTAAGGTGCTGGAGTTCCAGCTCAAGGAGTTGGAACAGCTCGTCTCCGGATGCCAATACTATGCCAGAAGGACCGTGTTTACGACGGGTCTGACGGAAATCGCTCTGAATATGGCGGATTTACCGCCGGCAGTAGAGGGCTCGCCTGGCTTCACCCTTCATCCAGCCAACGCGTTCGTGGTGCCTTACATGCTGCAGCCACCCTGGCTTCGGATCAACCAGAGCGAAACGATCAAGGACCACGAAGACTCATGCTGCCCGGGCCATTGCATGGAGACGTCTTGCATACAATACTGCTTCAACGCCATGCTCGAGTTCGCGGACAGGGCTCACCACCCTTATACCTCCCTGAAAAGGGGTCAGGTCATGGGAACCATGGAGCCCGGTTGTATTGAAAGCCCTGCCTTTTATCGCGCCTTCGGCCATCGCGGGCCGGCCTATATGATGGCTTCACTCATGCTTAAGAGACTGCTTGGGCCGCTGACCGAGTTCACGCATGCCATCGCCATTCTGACCCGATTTTGCAGCTGCTCGTCCACACTTGAACTGCAGGCACGGCTCCCTAAGGTTCCAGGTTTACAGTATAGCCCCGAGGGAGCAGCAGCGTGGGGTATCGCATATCCCACAAAAGAGGTAGGTGTCGATGCCTTTATCGAAGAACCCCGCTCTAATGAGGAAAGGTCATGGGGCGGACGGGACAGTAGAGCACGTAGATGGGGCACTGGGTTGTAATTCGACAGTAATATTCTGGGCCAGAAGGACACGAAGAAGGCTTTTTTTGTTTTTGTTTTTTTGGCTAGTTTTGTAATATTTAAATCTATATTGCAATAAGACCCCTCAAAATCAGTGAAAGTGATAAAAACTGTTCAAACATAACGGCCACGAGATTATCATCTTCGATGCCTACATCTGTTGCAAAAAGCACGCAATTCCTGAGCACCATCAGACCAAGTGGGCTTGGTGTCCTATGTTTTCCCCTCCGCATTCATCTCGGATCGCGTTCCGGGTACTGCGGGACGAGGCACTGTCGTCCACCGGAATCGGTCCGCCACTCTTACTCTACTCAAAGGCGTCCGCTGATACCGAGTCGAAACATGACTGACCTTCCATCAATTCTGCTCTACTTTCGGCGGCTCGGTACTCTGCGATCTAGCTTGTCGTCGAATTCAAAAAGGACACTCCGGGAACCTGCAACTCTCGGAGTTAGAATATGCCTTACACGAAGATAGGACCGAATGTGCCATGAAAAGGAGGAGACATCTTTTGTCCCTGGAGTCATCTAATGGACCTCGAGACGCATGTTCAATAGGGCGTATAAAGGAAATCGCGACTAGCTCACCGCTCTTGCAGCTTGGCTTCATTGATGCCGAGCTCAAGGAAAGTCTGCATCAGCCCCGGATGCCTCCGGCAGGCAATATATACCATGGCCTTTCCTATCTCGCGGCCAGACGGGGTCAGGCTGCAGGTAGCCAAGGAACGACTTTCCCAACTGTTCAAGGATGTCTGCCCCCTCGATAACACGAACCGTTCGATCAGTTGATCATATCCACATTTGCATTGCGACGCGTGTCTCCGAGACTCGGGCCCATTGTCGAACATGGACCGGAACTTCAGGATCTGGCTTGGATTGAGTCGACGTTGTGCCGCTTTAAAGAAAACCTCGAGAAGTTCGGGGTTTCCGAGATCTGCCGCAAGGTGGATCGGAGTGAAGCCAATCGTATCTTCAGCGAGCATATCCACGCCGACCTTGTCCAGAAGGATTCGTGACATAGCAACGTCCTCATGCATAGCGGCAATATGCAACGCGTTGTGGCCAAACTGGTTTGTCTCATTGGCGTTTTGGCCACGTCTAAGCCCCTCAGTGACGAAATCCAGATGACCAAGCTCCACAGCGGCAATAAAGAGGTTCTTACCAAAATCTCTCGATATTGGGCCAGAAGCTCGGGAGTAGGATAGGTAAGCTATATGAGAGTCGTGGATGGGGACATCCAACGCGTTGACCCGGTGATACCAAAACCGCATGCAGAAATGGTGTGGCTGCCATAACTGTTGTTGAGACTTTTGTAGAGAAGGCCGTAAACGCAACGAGCCATTCTGGGCATCGTGGATGGGAAATTCGACAAGCTGCGGCGCTGAGTGCTCTGCGGCGTAGCACGTGAACGAGGCATTGATGATAGAATTTTCAACAGCAGCACAGTGTTTTGTAGACCCTGATGTTCTCGCTACGTTATCGAGATCGAATGCCACACCCTTGGCGAGCTCGTCAACCTCATCCAACGACAGGCCGGCTACTTGCTGTGAGAGGAAAAAGATTGATGCCTCCGCTAGAGCCAACTTTGCATGGCGTTTGGGCATGACTCCTCCCAACCCGTAAACCTTGGCCGCCTCGTTCTCAGCCGTCTTGCTTATAAAGTCCACCCGTAGGGACACTTTAACATACTTTAGACAGTCTGCCCTAACCAGTAGCGATCGGAGCTCTTCACCGCCTATGACTTCCATGACATTTGAGCCTTCAGTGACGGCGCAGTATGCGGCTACGCTGGATGCGAGCTCTGCCAGAGTGAGTGGTCGACAAGCGCCAGCCATCATGAGCAAGACGGACGGGACTAACTGAAAATCGATTCCACGAGCTGTCCGCAGAACGTTTGCGTCCGTTGTACTGCGTTCTGTGGAGCATCCGAACAACGGTTCAGGTTTGCTTGAAGTTACGCCCGCGGATGAAGTTGCGTCCGTGGATGAAGTTGCCTTCGTGACACTGTCGTCTGGGGGTACACGGAGGTAAGTCGTCATATCGCCGAATGTCGACAGAAACTTGTTGAGGCATACGTCCATGTGGGAAGTAATGAGCAGTTTGATCGGCTGCGGGTTTGTCTCATCTGTGCAAAATATCTTACTAATCAACTGCTGGAAGCCCTCTCTGTCCTTAGCTAGTAGAGTACGGGAGAGGTCAAGGACAAAGATGACACGGGCATTACGTCCCAAGCCTTTTAGAACGTGCGCGACCGACTGGATGAGAAGTTCTTCTTTGCCCTCAACACTTTTGTGGTTTCTGACTTCAGCAACAGGACCAAGCGCAATGTCCTGTCTTTGGAGGAGTAGTTGGTGAGTGAGCGCCATCGCCATTTTCGAGAACTGGCTCTTGCTCCTTGTGTCCGTGGACGCGAAATGCGCGGTCAGAATCTCGTCTCTACCGTGGCGCAAGGTCAAGGCCAGGGCTCCGGCGAGAGCAGGATTGGTCCGACGGGTAGAGTTGACGACAAGAATGCCTCTGCTACCCTTTTCCCAGTTCTTGAAGTCCGGCTGGTCGTGAAGCCACTCAGAAAAAGCCTCGGCAATGCCTTTGTCTTCTTCGCTGGTCACTCGCTTCTCCTCGGGGCTGGAGAATTGTCGGATGACAGAGGTAATCACAGCTTGCTCCTGTTCCTGATATACCTGCGTTTGTGCTGACAACCCTATCTTTCTATCGAAATAGCTCTCTTTCTCTTTAATCCGCGACAAGAGATCGGAAAACTCGTTTAGGGGGAAGCCCCAGATTGTCGTCCAGAATGATTGAATCGACATGACTGACCTCACTTGATATTCTAACATGATCGAGAAGAGGTTTACGAGCAAGCTGTGGAGGGGGGTGCGATCGTCTCCCTTCTTGCTAGCTTTACAGTGAAGCACGGAGGAAACGCACAGTTGAAGATACCAGTCGACGGCATAGGCAATGTGGCTGAGGCCTTCCATCATTTCCTCCTTCAAAGTCATGGTAGACTCAACCATCTGAGATACCACTGTTGTCAGCGGCGTTCTCCATCAGCCGGAAGAAAACATGGAGAAAACTTACTCTAAGCACCAGACATAAACCACCAAATGCCAAGCCAGCCGGCGGGTACAACTGGAGGACGGGCAATAGCTGCTTTTGCAACATTTCAAGAAGATTCGTGGCAGCTTTGACAGCATGGTGGGCTGTCTGGGCCGGGGCATCAAGGGTCAATTGCATCCGAGTTATCTCTCGCATCAGTCGGCGTCTCGTCTCGGTATCCTTAGGAAAGGCCACCAAGCCACGAAGCAAGGCGTCTTGTAACTTGTCAGCCGAATCAGTCCATCAGTCGAATCCGTCCGTCAGTCGGATTGGCTGTAGGCCACCAGTCAGGGTCGCAGATGATATACGTGTACGCACCTCGGGGTGATTGGTCCTTTGCCATCTTGGAGAACTTTCCCATGACGACTGCCTCAAATTTCTTCACGAGACTTTTATTATTTGATCTCATCGCGTCATATGCCTCGTCCCACAGGGCATTCTTCTCGGCCTCGTCACTAGGTGGTGGCCATCCTGTGCCTGGGGCGCAACCGTCATCGGCCCGCCCGATGCCGATGTCGATGTCGCGGAGGTATCCGGCAACTACCGGTAGTGCTGGAGTCATGGCGGCGACGGTCAGCGCCTGCAAAGGACCCGGGTCCGATGGACATTGAGCGTGCTTCGCCCGACGGCGATGATGACGGTCAGAAGGTGAGGAGGACGTCGCCATGCTGCACCGCAGTCCTCTAGGATGGTTGTGGTTGTGAGGAAGGAATGAGAAGAGCTCTCAGCGACCTCAGAAGAAGGGAAAAGGTGGCAGCCCAGATTGACCCCCTATGGCATGTTCTTTGTTCTTTCGTCGCTGGCGCACGGTCACCGTCGCCGTCAGCCACGTCGCAGGTGTCGGCCTTCATTTCGATGATCTCCACCTGTTTTGTGCGCTGCGCGAATCGCGACACCAAAGCTGCCCCAGTAACGACAAGCCAAGCTGGGCGCAAAAAAGTCTGCAGGCCGAAGAGGAATAGGACGATTCTTTTTATGCCGCAACTTGGAGGAAATCTGTTCGAGCCTGCGCACTGACACAACGTATCAGGGCACTGCAAGGAGAACACAAGAGACACAAGGCTCCTGAACCAAGGGTGAAGCTGTAGAGCCTGTCTGTCCTGGGTGTAGCAAAAGTGTGTATGTATCTGTCTAAGTAGTAGTAGTAGTACAGAAGGTGGTAGGTGGCTAAGGTAGGTGGGTGCAGGTAGTGGAGGTCATGTGACCCAACACAACGATCGATTAATCATCCGGGTACAGCACCCGAACCCTCCAGACAGGGGTAAGAGGAGCAAGGAGTGTGTCGGTCGGGGAGAAGCCAAGCGCATGTGGATTGAGTGTAGCCACCGGTCCCTGACTTTGCATCAGCCAGTTCACAGGCCCCATCCATAGAGGAAGAAGTATGCCCACCTATTCATCGTCGTCGTCGATATGGAGACCCATGCGAACAGCGCACAGCAGTATTGCACCTAAGCCTGAATCGGAACCCTGTCCTCCTTCTCCAGCGTTGACAGTTGCTATATGTAACTCAGGGTTCGGTATCCGTAAGAGGGCAATGAGATCCTCTGCAGAGAAAGGGATAAGACATTAGTATCCGTCGATTCGAGTTCAGGATGTCACATCTTATCGTATTTAAAGGAAGTAATGGAGTATAACAAAAGCTGCGACCAGAAGGGCATGCAGGAAGCTCATTCATGGGCATATATGGAAAGGAGGCGAGGGAACGGGCATAGAATAGAGAAACACACATGCCGAGGATCTGTCTCTTTCAATTGCTGCCCATGGCACATTTCCTAGCCGGCACAACACCCCCAACTCCCGGCTTTGTCCGAGGCGTTGGCTGTACCTCCAGAGAGACCGACCGTTGAAGTCTGTTGCAAATCTGATCCCGGGTATGAGTACTGCGCTTGTGGGGAGTTGAGACATAGGCTGACTCACGGTGTAGAGCTTCCCTTATTGAGGAAACGACAATCTGACGCAGTGTTTCTGAGCGACTCACTGCCTACAAAGAGAGCACAGTTGACACGGACAGACACACAAAATCGTGAGCATTCAATATGTCCTCAAGAGGATGGTTAGACATGCTAACGAACCGAAGGATCCACGTGACAGTTCCACGTGACAGGGTCCATGTGACAGGGGCGGCCTTCACCTGTCGCACGTCAACAAAAGCCAGCCAATCAGCCACCCGACTTCTCCCCTGAAGCGAGATTTGACACGTGTAGTGGCGAGGGGTAGAGCGCTAATGCTAAGCATATGCCCACTAAGCATAACGTTATGCTGTCGGGCAAAAAACCCCATGCTGTCAGGCAAAAAACCTCTTGCAGCCAAGGATGTGCAGGGAAAGTCTGGGGTAGGCGACATCGGGCCCGTGATTTTATTTTTAGGGGCGGAGCTAGGTGGGGTCTGGGGGGACCCATCCAATCAGGCTGCAGGGTTGGCATCTCGAGACCGTACCTAGGTACACGTGTACTTGCTGCTGCCGCCTAAACAAGCGCGGAACTAGAGCGAATGAAGGGAAGATATTTGGAGAGCTGCCCCACCCGCCCCCACCCCTTTCCCCGACCGGGCAAAGGTAGCGCAGTGGCTGGTGAAATCTTCCGAGCCGTTCTGGTCTAGGTCCAGGTCCAGGTCCA